GGTCGAAGTACTATCCGACATTCGTGTCACCATAGAGGAGATTTTCCCTCCCCTACCACTCAAACGGAAGGCCGAGGAGCAGGGAGGTCGCGAGAGTTCCCCAGCAGGACCGAGTTCTGGCCAGGTTCTAACCAACGAGGAGTGGGCTATGGCCAACCGCGCTGTATGGGCTGAGGCGTCCGCTTCGCAATGCCGCAGGGATCGTATCGGATATGCCAAGAAGCAGCGTCAAGAGAATCGTTCCAAGCGCGACGAGTGGGGACTCAATACGGGATATTCTCTGCAAGTCGTCGGTCCCCCCAGTCTGTCCCCCGTACCCGACGACGTGCTTCCTCCTTCCAACACGATGGAGATGGACACGCCTGCCACTACCGACGCCGACAAGGTTTAGACGAAGCTTGAAGGGATGCTTTCTTGAAAGCATCGGAGGGCGTATGTAGGAGATTCGTGCCGGCACGTTGTGCCGGTACTCTCGTTCTCTTTATCCCTATCTTATCTTTACCATTACCTACTTACTATTCTACTCTTTTACTTTACTGCGGTGATCCCGCATCTCTATTACTTATCCCGCCTTTCCTTTTACTTTAGCCATGTTCTCTTTATAGATTAGACCCTATCCTACTTGTATATAAGACCTAAAATACTCCTACGTACTCCTTAGAACTACTCGAATAGAGGTCCTTTTCACCTGGTCTTTCCTCCATTCGACTACTCTCTGCTTCGTCTAACTCTCGTGTGCCGTTACTGCCGACTTCCTGTCACAGTACCGTCACAACCCGATTAGGCAATCCTTCGGCAAGTTTCTTAAGTAACGCCGCGTGTTTGCCATAGGAGCTCACCTGCTCTTTCAATTGCTTCGTATACTCAACCCACCAGGTTGCTCCTGAACAGTAGCCGCATTCTCTGGACACCACAAATATCCTCAGACACGTCGTGCTCAACAGCAGTAGGTGGAAAGTGGACATCTTGACTTCGCTTCACTTTACGTGTCTCAAGGTTATCTAGGCGCTGAGATTGCTTCTGTGAGTGATTTTCCTTTTGAAGCTGTCTCTCAATCCAGACTTTGGCTTTCTTTTGCTAGAAACACGTTTTCATGCCTTTATAATCCACAAAGCGCCTCGGCCATCATGCAATCGTCATCCTCTGACACCATGCCTCGCAAGCACGTATATCGTAGCGATCTTTTCAGCCCCGACCAGCTCACCTCAAATGAGCTTCTGGAATACGCATTGGAGGAATTACGGAGTGGCCTTACTGAAGACAATTTCAAGCATGTCTTTCAAGAGCTCATCGATAACGAGAGCCCCCATATTCTTCCTTTGGTCTTGTCGTGTAAGTTGACACCGTCGAACCATCCGATCGCCTATCGGGCTAATATCTTCATAGTCTTGAGCGAGACCACTCCCTTGGTTTTGTGGATGTTGCAATCATTTCCCTCTGATCCAGTGAATTATGACGCCACCATTCATTACAAGATTATATCTCGTCTATCTGCAGAGTTCATGTTATCGGACTCCTATTCTGTGCAAGACAAAGAGCTGTGTGCACGATACTATGAAACAACTCAAGTCACGTCCAATGTGTTGAAATTTCTTGTCTCTTTCCTCCAGGCCATCAATATCCGGTCAGATCAACGTAACAAGAACGGCAAGGTCAGCCAGAAGAAACGTAAGCAGGCCGAACGAGCAGAGAAAGCTGCAGCTTTGGTCGAAAAGGATTTCGATGTCCTGGATGTCGACATGCCTGAAGCGTCGAGCGACGCGTCCATCCTCGTGGACAGTATTCTAACAACTCAGAAGAACGCTCTTAAGGTTGGTGCTGCAATGTCTTCACTCTGCTCCTTGAAAGCTAAAGCACGCTCAGTTCTATTTGGAGATGCTCCGTTGTCCCGAGGTATCTCTGTCTTTCAAGGAACGTTCTATCGTTGCCCCACCACCCGCCGAAGAGGAGAAGACCATTAAGTTATCTGTGACAACAGTCCCCGAGGATCCAGCAGTGGTCGAGCTGCCATCTGCATATCCGAATGTTCGACCAATGAAGTCGTATGTCTTCGTATCCATTCCAGCGACTACATCACACTGATGTTATCCAAGGGCATTATACTTTGATAGCGCCAAAGGTTTTGGTGAATGGACAATCATCATATCCACGAACGCCGATGATTTTTTGCGGAGCACCCACAGAAAAGATGTCTCTACGTTCAAAATTATTGTGAAGAAGATCAAGTACGTACCATATCGTGATTCACCCTAGATCATACTTATTTAGTATACTGCAGGGAGCTCTCACGCGGACACTTTTCCGATGACAATCAAAAGCGTCTGAGTGGAAGCGGGACTGATGTTCCAGTATTCGAAGCTAAGATGACTCGCGATCTCAGGCTTATCGTAGGGCGCCTATTTCTCATCATTGCGAGCGTTGCTAACGTTATGTTTCCAGTATCAAATCGATGTAATTCCATGTGACGAAAGCGTACGTCCGCACTCTGGAGGACAACCTTGTGATTCTAGTTACTGAAATTACTTTGATTCATTGGCAGAGAGAACAACAAGGTAAGTAAATGATCATATCTCTTTGTTGTTTTCTCATGGTTATTGAAGCTGTCAAAATCTTTGGCATCCATACTCACGCCCAAATCGACAACCGTCTGTGGAGTTCTATCAGTAGTCAGCTTCGCAAAAAGGGAAGGGAGTACCGAAAAAGGTATCATTTTTACTCTCGGTAACTTGAATGCTAGCTTAAACGTGGTGGTATAGATGCGCGGTCAGGAAGCGCGCGGATCAAGCCTCGAAGGACACTTTCATTCCAGCGTTCTTCCCTCCACTTCCTGAAGTACTTCCAGTGGAAATTGAAGATATACCAGACCTACGTCCTGACGAAACGGCCCAGGTTGACTTAGCATTTTTCATTCCTCTGAAATCAAATGCTAACTATTCCATTCAGGTTCATTCAAGGCTTGTGTAAGTCTTGTATTAAGGAGCCGAATTCCAGTGGCTGACCCCCCTACAGAGTTGAGAAATACGTCACATTTTCGCAGGTATGTTCTCGTTGCATCCGCGGACCAATAACTTGACCATGAACATATGCAGCCTTTTTTGAATAGTACGTCCCTATGCAATGGCGTCCAAATATCAGACCTGATTCATTCTGGGTAGCCATCCTAGCAGATGTAGATGCAACTTTTCCTCATATGGTTTCGTGCGCCACCACCTTTGAATGACACTGTTCGTTCGCTGACACTATGTATTCGCAGCACTCAAGAGAAACGGATTATAGAGCACCCAAATTCCTGCTATGTTATAGGTCGCAGCGGCACAGGGTATGTGCGAGGAGTTTTCCGGTTCCATTTACTTGCTTACACCTATCTGATTAGGAAAACCACTACCATGTTGTTCAAGATGTTGCTCATTGAGCGAACATTTCAACTCATGGAGTCGGATTTGCCCCGTCCTCGTCAAGTCTTTGTCACTAAGTCCAGAATGCTTGCAAAGAAAGTGCAAGAATATTTTTCGAAGCTGGCCGGTTCCTTAGCAATGGCGTCAAGAACATTTGCTGAGCTCATGCGCTTACCAAAAGCAGCACAGGATCAAGAAGATTTGGGACTAGTTGATGTTGACGACATCGTAGATTGGCGAAGCGATCTTCCTGCCAAGTTCAGCGAACTCGAGGAGAAACATTTTCCGCTGTTTATAACATTCGATGGCGTAAGCGTCCGTTTTCTCTATCTGTGCTTCTCGTTTATCAGAATCACAGCTTTGCGACATGTTAGAAGCCGATATGAGCACCAAAATGTTGGCCCCCACGAGTCCTACTGACAGAAAACGCGCTAAGACTCATAGGGGTGTTATTACGTTCGAGTCCTTCTTTGAGTTTTACTGGTCGCATTTTCCCGAGCATTTGGTGAAAGGATTAGGTAGCTGCTATTTGTTTTGGTATTATGTTGGCACTGAAAGGGCATTCTTATAGATCCTGCCTTGGTATTCAGCGAGATCATAGGTATGACATTCACCCTATCTAGCGTTTGGTCTGACCCGTTGTTCAGGTGTTATCAAAGGCTCAGAAGAGACGTTGAGCGAAGGGAAGCGATATCTTAGCAGGACTACTTACCTTGATCTCAGCAAACGCCAACAATCCACATTTGCTGACCGGAGAGACGAAGTGTACGAAATTTTTGAGTCGTACATGCACAAAAAGAAGTTGCGAGGAGAGTATGATACTGGCGATCGGTGAGCGAATTCGGTTGAGGCGCTATGAGCGGAAAGTAACTCGCCTAGAACCCACAATATCTTGAAGTATTTCGCGGAGAAAGGTATTCCCGGACAAGGTATCGACCATTTGTGAGTTGTCCGCCCATACTCCCCATCCGTTATCAATCTTGTTGCAGATACGTCGACGAAGTGCAGGATAATATGCTCATTGACACGATGGGTAATCATCCTTTATATTGCTTTCCCGCGGTCATCTTACCGATTTGTCGTTTAGTCTTGAGGGCACTATGTAGCAACGCGGATGGTCTCTTCTGGGCAGGTGATACGGCCCAAACCATTTCCGTAGGAAGCTCTTTCCGTTTCAATGGTTTAAAGGCATTTCAATGGAATATTGAGGTAAGATTTAATCGGAATGATTCTCATTCGTGAGTCCAACCAGACGAATAGGATCAGTACCGGAAGAAGCGCGGACCCGCAGCTGCATGCAAGCAGCCGCCTGAAATGTTTCAACTCGCCGTCAATTATAGGTCCCACGCAGGCATCGTTGATTGCGCCCATTCTGTCATTGACCTTATCACGACTTTCTGGGAGGATTCCATTGATCGTCTTTCTCCAGAGATGGGCATTGTAGACGGCTTTAAACCTGTCTTTTTCGACACTGAAGATCGTACGCAATTGGAACAGTTCATTTTTGGAAATGTCGGTGATCACATCGAGTTCGGAGCTCAGCAATGTTGGTCTTCCATTATTAACATTGAAAGTGGGCTGTACTAATTGTGAATTTCTTTCGCAGGTATCATTGTTAGGAATGAAGCGGCGAGAGAGAGGCTCCAGCAGCAAGTGGGCGAAGTTGGTCTTGTGCTGTCCGTTTTTCTCCTGGTTGTGATGTCATTAAGACTCTGATTTCAAAATTCTATAGAACCATATACGAAAGCAAAGGACTCGAATTCAATGACGTAGGTCTATCAGGTTACAAGATGATTTGCTCACAGTCGTGTCGCATCTTTTCAGGTCCTTCTTTATGATTTCTTTGCCGATTCAATTGCCGGTCCTTCATCCTGGCGAGTTGTGCTGAACGCCATCGATGAAAGCAAGCAAGACCCTAGGAATCCACCTCCGCGATTTGACGGTGTTCGTCATGCAAGTATTTGTAATGAGGTAGGAATAAATCACACTATCACTTAAACTGGAGCAATGACCCTTGTTCAGTTAAAATCCCTGTATGTTGCAATCACCCGAGCTCGTGAAAATATCTGGATTGCAGATGGTTCTGAAACGGGAGAACCCATGAGGGTAGGTTCAAGTTGGCATTATCCTATCCAAACCGCATTCTGATCCCATACAATCGAGATCTTTTGGACGAGCAAAGATTTGATCCATAACTATACTCCGGGATCCGATGCTCCTCGCCTTGCGTCTTCATCAACGCCCGAAGAATGGGCTGCAAAAGGACGCGAGCTTTTCTATCGAAAGCAGTTCTCGCATGCTAAGCATTGCTATATCAGGGCAAATCTTCCTGTTTTGGCATCCATCGCAGGTGCCTATGATTTGCGGGCGAAGGCTCGTAAAATCAGTGGCACGTCGAGATCAAAGGTGCTCGAACGGTACGCTTGTTTTGCAGAAGCAGCCGTCTCGTTCTCGGAATGTGCCAAGGTCACCTCGAGCTCAAAGGATTCCTTAACCTATTTCAGGATTAGTGGGGAATGCTTCGAACAAGCTGACCAGAAGTATCGAGCTGCCCAGATGTTTTTCCAGGCACAGGAGTACACCCATGCTGCAGAGCTGTATAGAGATCTCGGAAAGTTTGACGAGGCAGTGGCAATTGTGAAGGCTCACGAAGGCGAGATGTCATCGAAAGTGGTCGAAAATGTCATCAAACTCGCCAGACTAACGTACTTCTCCAACCGCCAAATGAAGTAAGCTTTTTCTTGAGGCGTCCAGGAGGTCATTCTAAAAATTTCCGATAGAAAGGCACACCAGTTATTTGACTCCCTCGAAGAAGAATTGGAGTATCTGGAAGAAAGAGACCTTGATATTGCTCTTGCGGAATTGCTAGAATCAATGGGTCGACTCAGCGAGGCTGCTGAACTTCATTATTCTGAAGGTCGCAGGGAAGAAGCCATCGAACTCTTTCTTCGTGAAGCAGAAAATGAAAGTGCTTTGCGCCGGGCTCAAGAATGCATCCTTGAAGAACTTTGGCATAGAGTATCCTTTGGCGTGGACTCTCGTGCTATATGCTCAGATCCCGTTGTGTCGCGGCTGATGCGGTTTGCTTCGCGGTTTGATGCGGCTTTGATGAGGAAAATTGAAGCAGCTGAAGTACGTTTCAATCGTGTGTCCTGTTCACCACAACTGACAGAAATGTATATTCAGCTATTCATGTTCACTGCGATCATAAAAGATCAGACATCTCGACTGCGTGAGCTGGCATTGGAATTTCACGAGATGGGCCATAATTCCGCGGCTTTGTTATGCCTCGATCAATACTTCTCGCGGGCCTTTCGAATTCAGAGTATGGTCCTCGCTGACGCCGTTGAAGAACTCAACATGTTCCATTTTTATGTGAACCTGCTCTCCGCTGCCGCATACCGAACAGACCCATGCGAAGATGCCATGACTGCCGCTCTGTTCGGTTTCCGGCGGATAGCGGAAAATGAATATCTCGTGCCCCAGAATACGTGGTTACACACGGCAGCCCTTGAACTTCAACTCAGGAGCGCGACCAGTGATCTTGACCTCACCCTGTCGGTACCAGAACTGCGTAGCATATTTCAGCGTGTTCTGAGAGGTCGCCTCAAACAGAGGACTGACGCTGAGAACAGCGAATGCGCGAGAAGCAAAGCATTTCTGCCTTGCCTAGTTTTTGCTGTATCTGGGTTTTGTAGACGGCCAGACTGCCCGGAAGCTCATGTATCACCTTCTGAGATAGATGCTGGCTACTATAATATGCGCATCCGCTTGCACCTGCAACAAATATTGATTTTGCAGTCACTTAGGGAGAATGCTCATCAGGAGGTGGAAGGCAAAGGTACCAAGTAGGTCGTCATATAGTTCCCCGACTCTGCTTGCTTATTTTCGGTATAGATTTTGGCTCAACCGTCTTTATGAAGCTCTTTATCCGCCCCATCATGTGTTCGGTTCTATCTCGGACCTTGCTCTTTCTACAATTCCCGAAGCTACCAAAGCATTGAACGTTGTCAAAGATTGGGTGCGAACACTTGTGTACGGACGGGCATTTTTGCCCTATACGACTTTCCTCACAGACGTGATGCGGGCAACCACATTGGCATTCATGTTTGACCGGAGTCAAGCCGTTTATCTCAGAAATGCGGCATATTTCAGTATACGCACTCCACCTGCGTACATTCGTCGAGGTGGTTCACCCATACTACCGGAGCTTCTGGGTGCGATGTCTGGGACTTACACGTGGTCTCTTGCTGCCGGTTTTGCATTCGTCGAGCAAGTTCTGTTCTCGATTCATTTGTGTTTATGTTTTGATTTCTTTTTCCCAGGCATGTTATTATGCGACAATTACCGATTAACATAGGTGTTCTATGTGACCTGGTGGACTTTCTTTGCAGCTCTGTTATCCTGTGTGGTCGTCGCCCTGGAATGACGGTGCTGCATGACGTAACAGTTCCTCGCAGTTGGCTCCTGCGTTTTATCAAGCATGATTTGCCGTACTTGAATCCAAAGATACAGATAAACACTTTTCACTTGCTTTTATCGCGTATGTGGGATCTTTTAGAACAGTTGTACGACGGCAATGGCTCGGGTAGGTCCTCAGCTTGAATTTTCTTCCTCTTGCTCATAAGTCCTACGATGCCCCAGAATATCTTTTGTACGGAACTACCAGAAATCTTTCTAATGTGCCAGCGGTAATTCGTGATGTTTATATGGTCAGAATGTAAGTTGAATATTGTATCCGTCATTATGTGTTGTGCTGATCGTAGCCTAGAATCAAGGCCATTGGGCTACGTTAGTATTTTTTTTCTTGTTTGTAGAATATCCTGACTCATTCTTCTGTTCAGTTGGCTACAATATTCGTAGCGACCTTTTCAGGAGTAAAGTCCGGAAGTTGTTACTGTCGATGCGCCGTGAAGGACGATTGCTACCTTCTTTTTATAGTCGGTGCGTGTAGTAACAGTTGCACACTCGCGTGAAATCTCATGAGGCTTTTGCAGATATGTTGATGCAATAAGCTACTCGTGGGACGAATTCGCAAAGGTTCTCCGCCGTTCGCTGCAATATGACACCACGGATGAGATGATTCAGCTTTTTCATAAGAGCAGGGCTCCGGTGAACCTGAATGCCTTGCTAGGAGTGCGTCAGGTTGTCTACGACGATTTAGCGAATATTCAAGTACTGCTTGACCCCAGTGTCTCGACAGCGATCAGTCAAACCTCTGAACCGCATGTCGAGGTTTCCATGCAGATGGAAGATGATCAAGCCGAAGAGATAGAGCATCTTCCACGGGTTGAGGCTGCTCGCGAAGAAGGAGAAGACTCTGTTGACGCAGTTGATAATACCGTTGATGTCATTCCGATACAAGACATGACACGACCAGAGCCTTCAGAGCAAGAAATAGACGCCGCAATCCAGATACAAAGAGCGTATAGGCGCGTTCTTTCTCGCCGACGAGGCGTTGCCAAGAGCGGAATAGCCGGCCTTCACGCGCAAATATACGCGTCATGCGCCAAAGAAGTAACTCGGCTTGGTGATAACTCGGGGTTGTACCTTCGCTTGTTTCTGGGTCCGCTGCCGCACATCTTGGTTTGTCTCGAGACTGTTCGTATCGATTCATTGAATTACAAGAAGAAGACGAAAGAGAGGCTCAAAGAGTGTAGCCCAGATGAAATGGATGCGCTTGATGATCTCTTAACGCAGACCAAGTACGTGTTACTACTTGCCCGTTTACTCTTAACAGCAATTGATACATTTTTGATCTCTCATAGTAAGGCGAGCAAGGCGTCAATCAAATTACAGAAGGATCTTGGCCCAAGTTCTATGTTTCACGAGCGTTGCGACGACAAGCAGCTCAGAAAACTAGTGGAAGAGGCTAGCAAATTGGTTTCTTCTCTCCCATTCGGCACTTCATCGGAATTATCGGATGATTTGTATCTTGCTGTCAAAGGGATCGTAACTGAACGTTCGCTTCCAGGTGCTGGTAAAAAGCCCGTGAAGCCGACACTCAACATTGAGGACGATTACTGTTACTGATCTTGTCCTAATAGCTCAATACATCTACCGTCTGTAATATATAAACTCCCTTTGATCATTCACGCACTGTCGCTGAAACATTGGAAAACACATCTAAACATGTCGTGTAGGCAGTTCATCTGCTACGGTTGACCCCAATCCGCCGCTGTCCTTTCCCAACTCACTGCCCAGCTCATCAGACAATCAGCGCGTCTCTGTAGTCGCTTTGAATTGCTTAGCAAAGGCGATACGCTTGGGCAACATATATCTTATGTCAATCCACCGCAATGTGAGCGTCATGACGATGACGAGGATCCAGAGTCCAAGAGACACCTGCCAGCCATACTTGTAATGAGGAGCTTGAGAGGCTGGCCATACGAGAACTTGAGACCAAGCGGAGATAGCGTAGTAGACAGCGACAGCTGCAAAGTGTCAGTTCCATGATAATCAGCAGAAACAGGTCGCTAGCTTACCCACACCAACTACAAGTGTCCTTTGCTCGGGATCCTGGGGGATCAGATCCGATACCCAAGCGAATATCAAGGGAGCAGTACCGAGCGCGACGAATGATATGAAGTACGACTGTAGAAGTCACCAAGACGAGATCGTAGGAAGAGCAACAGATGTCACGTACGAAATATTTGGCACTATCAGGTACATTCCAGATCGTCATGATGATGCATGGAATAAGGCCTATGAAGAATAACAATCAGGGCTCAAAAGTGAGTTTAAATCTTGAGACAAACCAATAAGGCCTTGAAGAATGATAAGCCAATGCCTGGTTTTGAGCCAGTCAGATAATAGTGCCCAAATCCAGACTAACCGCTGAATATGAGTAACAAGATGGTCAGACCTATTGAAGGCGTACCAAATGCTACTTGTATAGCCTGACCACCGATTGGTATAGCGTTAATTTCCGACACGCCCCAGCGACTCGTTCCATCAGGATTTTTGAGCGACTTCAGCCAGAGATTAAAGTCTGGAATAACGATAACCACCAACATTTCCAGTCGTCAAAGAGGCATGGAAACTTACAAACGTAACCATAGCTAGCCAGCACTGTGGCGACATAGAGGATGGTAATAAAATATATGACCCAATTGGTAGCTGAGCGTTTGATGCTAGCCCAAGTCACCTCCTTCGGTTCGGCTCGGTTATGCCTCTCCAATCGTTCCATAGCCATCGCGGCGTGACCTTTGTTGAACCAGAACGCCCTCGGATTAGGTTTGTTGGGCAAATCGGGAAGAAGGAAAAAGCCGAAAAACGCAAAGACGACGGTCATAATCCCGTTGATGATAAACAGCCATCTGTAAAGAAGAAAATTAGCACGATGTGAGGAAAGGAAATGAGAAAAAATACCGCCACCCCGCTATTCCATAGTGTCCATCCAAAGTGCTCTGTACAGCGGTCTGAAGAGCATTGGCCATCATGCTGCCTATCGCCTGACAAGAGTGGTAGAATCCCATACGCTTCGCGAGCTCTGTGGGCGTATACCAATGCATAAAGAGCGTCATCATACCGGGCCACGCACTGCTCTCGCATAGTCCCAAAAAAGTCCGAACGGCATAAATCTGCTTTGGACTGTGACAGGCAGCAATGCTCCCGGTCAAGATACCCCAGGCGATTTCAAGACCCGGAAGCCAAAAGGAAGGTCGGACGTACTGCAACGCATGTATCAATATTAATCATTAATTAACACACAGAGGCGCAAACAATAGCACTTACTGTCATGATAATTTGTGAAGGGACGAGCTACAGAGCAAAACCTGTCAATACCTGTTCCACGGATGTGGGAAGAACCACTCGCCATTATGCAGTATCCGACGTTGAAGTAGGTCGTAAAGTAATTCAATTCTGGGAAATTTTAGAATAAATTTATAAAAGGTGAATTTAGAAGCATCACCATTTCCGACTAGGTTCAGGTCTTCCTACAGGGGAGAAGCTCACACGATGAATTTGCCGATAGAGGCGATTGTTCACGCACTTTCATCCCAGATACTGATCAACAAGAAACCGAATGAGGGAGCGTTACGGAACGAAAATGAGAACATACCATACGCAGTATTGATGTTTTGCTAACCAATGCTACTTATGAGGCAAACGGTTTCGAGTACATCTGGCAACGTACCTGGTCCAGATACTTGATGATCTGAGATACGCATCCGAAAAACAACAAGAAACAGTCCAATCGGAGGACCAAACTCTTCTCGATCAAAGAGCGAACATGACATGGGACTGCATGTTCCTCATCTGTGTCTTGAGATACAGCTTCGGGATTGGAGAAGGTGCCGGGCATACTAAGGACGACGTGGTGCACGGAGCTAAGAGCCACGCTAATGCAGGGATCCCGCAAGAATCGTTCCCTTTTCTACCTGCTGGAGAGCTAGCGCTATCAACTGGGCCGCCGGCGATAAGTAGAAGGACAACATGGTCATGATTCTTGATAGCGGAAGAGAAGGTGCTCGCAGGGTCGATTTCAATAAGAACGCAGAACACGGACCGATCCTCCGCCGGCAAGCAATAAACCGATAAGAACTTGAGAAGGCAGGCAAATATAAATTCACTCCAAATTGCACCTTCAATCATACTCAATGAAGCAATGTCAGGCACGTATTTTGATGAATAGTGTATCATGTATATCAATTCTCAATAGTACAACGTGAAACGGAGCGTCACCGTAATCTTATATGTCGTCTACTCCCCAACCTTCTCTTCATGAGACACCTTCCCATTTTCCTCATCATGTTTCTCATCTAAAGTTCCAGTGATCAAGCCAAGGCGTCTATGGATATCTTCAAGACGGCGAAGATCCTCTGTGGCCAAATTGGTTGTGTTCCCAAACAATTCTTCCATTTCTTCCAAACTTACTCCCTTTGTCTCTGGGACCTATGTTGACGCTGTTAGTGGTACGAGTTCTTACAGGAAAGAAGTATGACGTACCAGGAACAGAATGAAGCAGCCTCCTAGGAACGAGAAAATCTGCATTGTAATTCAGCAGCGTCGTCTCACCATAAAGATTTTAGACGTACTCCAAAGAAAACAAAAGTCCCATATCCTATGTGCTGCAACATCGACGGCGTAACTTGACCGACTGAGATTTTATGAGCATCCTAGAGCGAAAAACAAATTATCGTTCTCTCATACCTATGAAGTTGTTCATCTAGGAAACAGGTATTCATCAGAAAATTATGGCAATAAACGAGAAAATCGATTATACCCAATTCGAGGAGGCAGCAATGGACAGGCCTTTGCCTCGAACACTCAGAGGGAATATCTCTGAAACGATAATCCAGCCACAAGGACCCCAGCTATAACCAAAGGCTATCATCCTCATTGAGTGAAAAACAAGGAGTGATGGTCACCACAGAACATACCCATGGCGAAAATCCAAACGAAGACACAAGCCACCCATCCGGCAGCTGAAACGGTAATGAAGCTTTGTACTTAAGGGTATTACTCAGATACACCCACCTACATGGCTAAACAAGAAACGTGTCAGCCTTGGTTAGTCATCTATTAAATTCTCCGCACCTCGGCCAGGTATCGTGGAACCTACTCGTCAAAATAGCGACGACGAAATGACATCTAGAGAATAGTATGGTGTTTATCATCCAACGTACTCCGCGCGATACATTAACAAACTCACGTGGCCATGAGAAAGGCCCCGGAGACAAGTACTGGCTTCCGTCCAAGCTGATCAATGAACAAGACTGCTGGAATTGTCGCCAAAAACATCCTATCAGTGCCGAAGTTAGCAAGAATGAAACGATCACAGCTACGTGTCTTACGCGATGCCAACCACACCTGTTGCGAGAAGAGATATAGTGTTCCCTGTTAGACCTAGAGATTCGAAGATGCTAGGCGCATAATATAAAACAGCGTTGACGCCGGTCCATTGTTGAAAAAACATCGTTCTAGAATAGTGTCAGGGCGTGAAAGGATCGATGATCGCTGGTAGCCTCACAGTGAGCCGACAGCGACACGCCAAAGTAAATCTTGTGATGGCTTAGGGTTAAATTTCGGACGTGAAAAGGAGATGAACCCACTCCGATCAAGGATCAAGCTTAGATAACTGTGTAGGCCCAGCTTAAATTGGGATGCAAATGACGGATCTTGATATTGAGGAAACTGGGTTTCAGAGATTTCTTTCTCGAACAAGTATTGCGCTTTAATTTCGCTATGGTAAACCAAATTCTTTCAGTGCTAGTCGGTAACAATATAATAGCAGTGCACTTACAGGAACTCGATACGCACGAGGTCATCGTCCTTGGGAAGCGACCGAAGATTGCTGAGCACCGTAAGGGCCTCATCATCTCGTTCTTGGTTGACCAGCCATCTAGGTGAGAATGGCATGAAGAGGATCCCACATCCGAGTATGATCGCAGGTGCTAGTTGAAGCGCCAGTGGAATTCGCCAGGCGGCCTCACTTTGTCCTGCACCAGTGCCGCCAATATAATTTGTTCCATAATCGATCCAGAAGGAGATCATGATCCCGAATGTAATAGCTAGCTGCTGGAGTGCCACCAAGCTCCCCCGTACCTCTGGAGGTGCGAGCTATATTGTCCGTCAGCCTTTAGTAACACAGTTTGAAGCAAGACTGACCTCTGCATTATAGAGCGGGACTGCCATACTGGTAGAACCAACGCCAAGACCAGTCACAAATCTACCACCGTAGATAGAGGAGGGTTTCATGGCTGCAGTCTGGACGATAACCCCTACACAAAAGACGACAACGGCTAAAAAATCAGGATTTTAAACATTGACGATTCCCTGAAGCGGAAGGAAATACCCACCCAAAAATATGGTGTACTTGCGGGATAGCTTGTCAGCGAGATAACCTAAGAAAGTACATATTTTGGTTCTTTTCAAAGAGCAGTTTTCACCGACCTGTCATTAGAACGCCAACCCAAGCTCCCAACTCCAGTATAGCGACCAGCCATCCTTTCTGCTTCGTGTCAGAGACAGCAGTACCCATCCTAGAACAAAATCAGATACATATATCATCGAAGGGTCAATTAACACACCGCTGATCGAATGTGGACATTCTGGATGTCGTTCAGTCGAACTTCATTAATTTCAATGAGAAGCAGAACCTACCCAAGTACTCCGGAAAAGACACCCTGAGAAAGAACGTCAGCTCAGGCCCTCACCGTACAGTATTACTTAGCACTTGATTATATCCTGAGGTTTAAATCTGGGTCAGCTAGATATTATTGACTCGCGGTTTACGAACCATAGAGCCTATTGGGAGAGGTTAATGACGACAACAATGAGGAGAATAATTTCTTACAGTCCTCCTAGAGAGGCAAAGACTGCGATCAAAAACACTTTACGATTGTGCACAAGCCCTGCCTGCACATTCACGACTACTATAAGCCCGGCGATCAAGAAGGAGACACACACGCACCCATCCGGAAGCTCCCGCGAGAGCCTTGCGACGACGTGCGGACAACGGAAAATCTCCAGTAGAACCTCCAGCCATGTCTGAGAAGATCAAGAACAGAAGGGCACCAAGAATTAGGCGTCTGCCTCTTTTTGTGGTTTCCCAGCGGGTAGGCGGTCCGGAAGAGGGTCACCTGAGGATTTATATGTTGCAAATGTTACTGTTAGTTGGCCCAGAACTGCCCAATGGGTAATGCGACCCGCAAGGGCCTGATCCCGGCTCAGCGTGGAGCGAAGGGCCAAACACTGTTTGAAGAGCAGGTTGCGGGGATAACAATCAAGGGACGGGTGAGGGACAGTGATAGCTGCGCATCGTGCCAAAAATATAGATGATACATTGTATCAGCGCTAGTGCCCGTATACATTCTCAATCATGATGTGTTCAAGAATGAAAGGGTGCTCGTTCATGAGGTATTTTTGACGCTAAAGTCCGGCCGGAGACCGGTGAGTGCGGGATATACAGTAATAGAAAACTGTATTCAGCATGCGGGACCTGTAGAATATTTGTTCCTGAAGTCGAGATGGTGATGGATTGAAAGCAAACAGGGAATTAGTGAATTTGCAATAACGTAACGCGGATCGGATCGGCAATTTGCCGGCAGAGATAAGAGGACAGCAAAGATAAGATTCTCCACTTTCACTTCAAAGGTTATCATGACTCTCTTCTTTGGTTCTCAAATACTACCACTTGTGCCATTTTGTTGGATATTCACTAACGCTATTGCTCCCTTTTTATCGTTGTCGCAGGGCCCTCAATAATTCGCTATTTCCTTCATTTCTCAGCAGAATGTCCCAAGATCCTTCACAGAATCCGCCTTTTCCCTTTGAAAGACCTTGCTTGTCAATTTGGCAGAGGACGACTCGCCATAACCCTTTGCTTCATGAAGGTGCTTCCTCTCCAATACCATCTACAGCCGATGCAGTTGTTATAGGTTCCGGCATGGCGGGAGCCGTGACTGCGTACGAATTGTTGTCGGCGCCGAATGGACCCAAAAATATCGTAATGCTCGAAGCCAGAGAGGCCTGTTCCGGCGCCACAGGTAGAAATGCGGGACACTGTCGTCCAGGTATGCTTCCGAAGCTATTTTGTTCACATGGACCCTCATCGATTTTCAAAGATGCTTTCCGTGGATTCGCCGCATTTTCTAAAATCCACGGCCCCGAGCAAGCAATAAAGATTATCGAGCACGAGAAGCTCGTTCTTCAACTCGTCAAACGGTTTATTGACACCCACAAGATTGAATGCGATTTTGATTACTGCAAGACCTTTGATGTTATCATGGGAGAGGATTTCTTTCGATATGTCACCAGCAGTTTTGAATCCTTCAAGCAATTTGGTGGCGACACGGCTGGCGTAACGTGGTTGGAACAAGATGAAGCGCGAAAGGTCTTGCCCTCTGCCACGAGTTATTGCGGGCGAGGTAACTGACAAGCTGCATCAACAGGCAACTCGTGTTCCTGAGGCCCTTGGCGCATTTGAGTGGAATGCCGCAAGTCTTCACCCGGCAAAGCTTTGTCTTGCGGTCCTTGCCATAGGTCGCGATCTGGTTTATCCCTTTTTACGCATACGCCTGCAACGGCGATCGAACGTTCCGGCGACAAGAATTGGGTTGTAAGTACTGCTCGTGGTTCTATTACGACACCCATCGTCGTTCATGCTACCAACGCCTTTGCCGATACCCTCTTTCCCCAATTAAGACCCTCATAACGCCTATTGCGTGCTCAAGCTCACAAGATAATCCCAACCCCTTCGTTTTCATCGACGAGTATGCTTACACTACCTATTCACTGCGATTCGCTTTACATCACTTCTATTCGCTTATACAGCGCAAGTCGGATGGAACGCTAGTCTTGGGCACCAGTCGGGTATTCCTGGCCTCAGCGAAGCCACACGTGCTGAACTTGCTTGCAAAAATGACCGGGTATTTAATGAGGAAATTCAAGAAGATGCGGTTCGATCATTCAAGAAGATATTTCCTGATTTCGGAGAGGAGGCTCTGGGAGAGGGACTGGAGTATGGTTGGACAGGTATACTCGGCATGGTGAGTAAGTCGATTGATTGAGACTTCGAGCTTACGCGTTCTTCTTCAAGACTAAAGATTCGGTGCCGTTTGTCGGAGCAGTTCCTGGTTGTCCAGGTCAGTATGTCCTAGCCGGGTTCAATGGTCATGGAATGGCGCGTATTTTTGGTTGTGCACCTGGTCTAGCACAGATGGTTCTCGGGGGAAACTGGGAAGATACAGGGATGCCGGAATGCTTCCAGATCACCGAAGAGCGGATGGCAAAACTAAGACAGTGAAGGTAAGTAGAATAAGATTAGATGATTGCATGTCAGCGGTCCCAACATTGTATCCGACTATTCTAAGTGACAACTTGAAGTCAACAAGTATGAAAGACGGATGAACGTAAACGATTAGCGTGCATCGTCAGATTTCGACACTGTCCAGGGAGGTAGTTTACTTAAGCAATACTCTGCACGCCCCCATCGTTAACTGGATGGTAACTATCCACCGACAACATTCCACCGGACCATTCCGCTGTTTATAGAAGAGAGAGACGAGCAGCTGTTACCCGAAGCGGCACGGCGATGTTCGCAAAACTTTCCCAACTTTCGTAGGAGCTTTGGTCAGTGGTCACAGGCAGAGGCGAAGGGCCAGAGGACAGAAATGTTGTAAGCGGCTCATAGAAATTGAAGGATGTGGTCATTATCTCCTCACATCATCACCGTGGCATTGATTTATAGGCATCACGAAAATGGCTAAGTTGAAGTTTGGTTCAAGTCCGAGTTGCATGGCGACGTGATCCTGTTTGAATTTCGAGTGATAAAAGGAAACAAGGAAGGAAGCTGATAGAGCAAAGGAGAACGAATGATCTGAGATGTTCGTACAACGCATGAACTAGCAAGTATACCGAGTAGTTGGAGCTATAAAGACGTGGGTGCGAAACAGAAATTATTCCCACGCCTCCTGTCCTTCTCCACAATGGACAACTCCAGGCTGGTGACCGTCACTTTTGAATTGCCTAGAACACAGCATGCTCTTTCCAAGCCTGAGGAGTGGAATGTGTCTTGGGAGCGTCTCTGTAGTTCAGGTCTCCTAGCCCCCCCCATTCTGCCTCGAGTTGGCTCTTAAAATGGAGCCATGCGAAACTGGTATCAAGGCGTTTGAATATTCCAGACTTCTCCAAAACACTCTCGGTCTTCGTTTTGATATTGGTGTAGAGGCTGTTGACCTGCTGCTCTACCATGATCTTGAATCCAAGTGGCTTGCTGCTACGCGTGCTACCCGCAGGCAACATGCTCTTGTTGGTTTATCCGAGGCAGGGGCTATAGCCAGAAACCTCAACGAAGCCAGGAGGTTTACGGGAGATATTCTTACTCTTGAAAATCTCAGTAAAGAAGGTCATACCCTTATCGACTTGCTCAAAGCTATCATTCCCGACGATATTTCCGTCCTTCCTAAGACACCATGCCATTTCCCAAATGCCGCCTGGGATTCACTCCGTGAAGAGCGCCAGAAAAATGGGACCGAGTTTGAAAAGTTATGGCTTGCTGAGGCACATATGCTCCGGTCAAAACTCATCTGTGCGCTTTACCTTCGCATTTCTGTTTATCGCTGATGCTACCTTCCACTCAGATCACGTCGTGCAGTGTACGTACTTGTCGTTCCTTGGACGGCCGCGTCCAAAAGATCACTGTAGTGAGAAATCTCGGCCATTCTCCGCATGCCCAGATGGATTCGGTCGAAAAGGAGCTAAAGAAGAAGCTTTACGGTGGGAAAGCGGCCAAGGAGATGTGGAAAGACGACAAAGCTGCTTGGAAAGATCGAACCAGCCGGCGCGCGAACTCATGCACCAATTGCCTCAAAAAAGAGGAAGAGGGCCAAAAGTTTCCTCACTGTTCCAAGTGTTGGACTGCGTTGAAGCGAGATGTCCCTTACTGTTCGAGGTGCGTCTCTGGTGCTCGTCCTTTCTGCTTGAACTTCTTGAAACCCTTTTCAGAGAATGCCAGACTGCGGACTATAAGAGCAGACACAAAGCGATTTGTGGTAAAGAAATGGGCCTCGAAGACGCCGTGGAAACGGCGTTGAAAGCACGCGGTCCACCCAAGCCAACAGTTACCCAGATAGGACCCGCTGTCGAAGGCTTTAAACGCTCTCCAGCTCTTTTGCATCATATTTTCAAGCTAAACCGGGACCCGAAAACCGATCTATACATTCGGATCAAGGAGGGAACAGACAGCGAGGACTGTTTCATGCGAATGGACACTCCTTTTCCTCCCATACAGAACCTTATTCGTGCTGCTCGTGATAAGGCTATGATAACTGGCGATCGCCAGAGCGCGGCGCTCGTGTGCCATTTCACCGTATGGTTCTTGCTTGCCAAAGGGCTTGATAAAGAGCGTGGATGGGATTTCAAAGCTATGATTGATGAAATGACGAAAGAGTACGAGTTTCCAGACTTGAAAAAGGCGATGCTGGAGTTGCAGGTGAGGCAGTTCCGAGATCCTTTCATGCGTCCGTGAGTATTTGGTCTTCTTAGTGCTGGGACTGTGGAGCTGAAAGGTTGTTTTGTAGGCCGCTAGTGCGGAGCCTGGCGCCGGCTGATTGGATAGGTTATGTGCGCATCAGTCCTGTGGACATGACCCGAAGGATTGAGTGACGAGGTGGCGTTGAAGTGATTGTACAGTTTTCTTGGAAGCAATAGCCATGCAGATTTTGGCAGTGTATTTCTAACACCAGCAGATATACCATTATGCAAAACATAACGTGGAGAACACCAACGAGAAGATCAAGGTCAAGCACCGTCCTCCTTTCCCTTTAATTGGGATGGCGGCATTAATGTATGGTATGGTGCTGCGAGGGTGGTACGCATCCCAGACGCACGAAAGGATGCTTGATTATCTCGGCGCCACCAGCAGCACGATAGCCTTCGCGTGCACAAAAGGCCTCATTGCCAAGTAACCAAGTCACCTGTGGCGTCTTCTATCTTCCTTCATGCACAGGAGCTGAAAGACGCGCTTATAGGGACTTCTATTGCCCTGGTGACTGCTCGACGATTGCTCCCCAGTCCATCTTCCCTGAGAAAGTTGGGGTGTTATTCATTTTCGGTTCCGATGTCGGAAAAAGGGCTTGAACTGGCGCCTGGGTGTAGAAGAGGGAGGGGGAATTCAAGCACAAGACAAACTCGCAAAACACTTCGTATCTTTCCAATGAAGACAGAATTGAAACTCTGGGTCCGCCTACTCTTTCGTAGAACGTTAGCTCCGGCACCGCGGTCCGACGTGATGTCAATCCTGTATCAAACCGGAGTGGATTTTGGTGGACTCTGTGCTTTCCCTGCCTTTAGATCCGTTTTGAAAGATGGATGAATGGGTGTTCGTCCCGCGACGGGGCGCTTCCCATTGAACGGCAGACCGTCAAGAGCCCAGAACTCCAATTTGACCTCAAAAAACGATGGAGCCAATGGTACACAATCCACAACACACGTCCCCAAAAATGGATTCACTCGACCCCAAGAATTTGGCACTCTCCCACTGACGACGACCACCATGTCTGACGTCCCTACGAAGAAGGATGTACCCATCGACCTCAACATCCCCGACAATTACGTCCAGCACACTCTGACGACGACCAAACCGCTGCCTCCCATCACTCTTTCCAATATTCTCAATGAAATCAACTGGCTTTCTTTCATCATCCTTACCTCGACCCAATAATGGGAGTTATCGGTGCTTATTATACCAGGCTCAGATGGGAGACCGCTGTCTGGGCTGTGGTGTATTATTTCATCACTGGTCTTGGTATCACGGCAGGGTACCATCGTCTCTGGGCGCATAGGTCGTATAATGCTTCAAAGCCGCTCCAGTATATGCTCGCCATGGCGGGAGCTGGTTCCCTGGAGGGATCGATCAAGTGGTGGTCTCGAGGTCACCGCGCGCACCACCGGTATACAGACACCGATCTCGATCCATACAATGCTCACCGGGGCTTTTTTTACTCGCATGTTGGCTGGATGCTCGTTAAGCCTAGGCGGAAGCCCGGTGTCGCGGATGTCAGTGATCTGAGCAAGAGCAGTGTTGTGAGGTGGCAGCACAGGCATTACTTGCCGCTCATCTTGACTATGGGTTTTGCCGTTCCCTCTGTGATCGCGTGGTTGGGATGGGGTGACGCGAAGGGTGGGTTCGTATATGCTGGTGTTTTGCGACTAGTCTTCGTGCATCACGTCAGTTTTCAAGCGCCCATTGTTTTCGGCATGAAGCTGACGTATTTTTCTTAGTCGACTTTCTGCGTCAATTCCCTCGCTCATTGGCTTGGAGAGACCCCCTTTGATGACAAGCATACACCAAAGGACCATATAGTCACAGCATTCGCTACCATCGGTGAGGGATATCACAACTTCCACCACCAGGTACGCGTCATTCTGTGTTTGTCATATACACTCGGCATCTGACACGCGGGCTCGCAGTTCCCGATGGACTACAGGAACGCGATCAAATGGTACCAGTACGATCCCACGAAATGGTTCATTTGGTCGATGCAGAAGATTGGACTTGCGAGTCATTTGAAAGTTTTCCCTGAGAATGAAGTTCGCAAGGGTCAACTGACGATGCAGCTCAAGCGTCTTCGGGAGACTCAGGAATCGCTTGCCTGGCCTTCAAATAGTGATGACTTACCTGTTGTTTCATTCGACAGTTGTACGTGTCTTTTTCCCACCCCGCCCTGCCAAGATCATTAATTTTTTCGTTACAGTCCAAACGCAGTCGCAAAAGCGTCCACTCATTCTCATTTCGGGTTTCATTCACGATGTTTCGACGTTCGTGGATGAGCACCCTGGTGGTGCGCATCTCCTTGTCAAGTTCATCGGCAAGGACGCGACTACGGCTTTCTTCGGTGGTGTGTACGACCACTCGAATGCTGCTCATAATGTATGTTACGTCCCTGTTTTGACTGTCTTCAGCTTACTCATACCTCATCAGCTTCTCGCCATGAAGCGCGTCGGCGTACTCCACGGCGGACATCCTCACATTCTGGATATCACCAAGCGAATTCCACCCAGCCAACGCCTCAAGATTGCGCGGTATAATGAATTGAGCTCGAACTATGCCAGTAGCACGGCGTGGAGTGACGGCGATGAGGAGGAACAGGAGGGTACGGTGAAGAAGCTCCGCAAGTAGGTTGTCGTTAGTAAAACCCTTTGACTCCATACGGTACTATATTCTCAGCGCCGAAATTAGACGAAATTGTTCTCTCATATAAAACGTGACGTTTGTTGCAGATGTGTGGATTGTTCATAAGGGAGAGTGTACGAGCAATTGATTCATGACTGACCGCAGTCGTAATCCTGAGATGTTCGACTGCTTAGCCGTCATTGATTCATTGTACCTCTGTCTTTAGAGACGGCGAGCTCAGACATTACTACAAGAGGTGTAAAAGTCCTGTGCTTCAGGGGAGAGTTGGGAAGGACGTTATTTAGAAAGACAGACAAGGAAGTTTCTAAGTAGAAAGTAGACTGAACAAATAGTGCAAGAGTCTAACAAGGAATGCGGACAACACTATTCTCCAGCTGGCCATCCCCTGCTTCATATCGGACACATACCACTGCTCAGAAGAATGGCAATATGCGAGACTGCGCGACGTAGGAGGATCATATCGACAACGAAACGAGAGGTTACGCGTTACGATTGGGACTTTGAGTTTGATCCTCAAGTCATGAAGGAGAAGGTGAGTAAAAAGTCTGTATGAGAACCCGAACTGCGAGGCGGCGCTTTAATGTCGAGTCACCTACAAGATAACGACAATTGAGTTGTCGGTAATGATACTGAGGACTGGATATAATGTCATAGCGTCCTGTGTGTACACACGATAAAGAGCCCGAACCTAAATCAAGCTCAAGGTAATATCATAACGATAGGCAGTAGTAGTTGAATCATCTTTGTCACCTAAAGTTGAGAACAGAAGTCCTGCTACCTGCCTCAACCCAAAAAAGTGGTAGACTGCGTTTAAGATAATGAAGCAGATGGTCGCACCGGTCCCGTATCACGATCTCGCACAATAATATAATCCCACCACTACCCCGCCCCGCCATGTCGACTCCTCCTACTCCTATTGACCGTCCCACTCCTCTCCAACGCCGCCCTCATACCCCTAATAGTCTGCACAATCTCCCCCGCTGCTTTCGGACTCTCCGCCTCGAAATCATACCTCTTATTCCCCGTAAGTACCAGCTTGAAGATGTTCGAGCTCTTGGTGCTCTGTTGGCAGTCGACGATACTCTTGATGTGGTACGAGTACGTTTTGCCATTGTCGAAGACGGCTTTGGCTTTGTTTGTGGAGGGCATGATCTAGAGGGGGGGAGGGGTGAGTGGGGGAAAGGGGGAAAGGGGAGAAGGGAGGAGGGGGCGTACGTGAATATAGACTCCGTCGATTGCGAGGGTCTTTTCCTGTTTGGCGACGAGCATAGGCATCTTGCGGGATATCGTGTATTTCTAGAGGGGAGTTAGCATAGGGCATTATGGACACGAAGAATCTAACCTTGTAAGCAGCAGTGTAATCCAATGCAGAGCTGAGTTTGACTTCTGGCGTATCGGAAATACGTTTGAATATTGATGCTGAAGATGGCGTCAGAAATGAAAGTAATGATAATGGCGGACTAACCGTTCGGGTCAGTCGTCCGCCCAGCACCCTTGAGAACGTCTCCGCCAAGCCTGCTCTTCTTGATGATCACGAGCTCCCGCTTGCCTTGCAGACTGGCCACGGTACGGTCCAGCGGGATGAGGATGCTCATATCCGCGAGCAGCAGTGCGTACTCTTTCGGGTTGTCAAGCTTACGCTTACGACAGACCATCTCGAGGGCCTCCTGCATGTACATCTCGGCAGAACTGGAATCGGGGTCAGAAAAGAACGAGGTTGTGAAAAAATGAACATACACAGGGATAGTAGTGGATATGTGCCCTGCATCGGCTGCGTCTGCTACTCTGATTCTCAAGAACATCTGCGGCCCACTGGATGATAAACCTAGACTGGTTGAGAGCGGTAGGGAGCCGAGGTTGGAGCCAAATACGGGAGCGCCGGTAGTGGCTGCTGGGGGCAACGATCCTGGGTTCTGATTCTGATTCTGGGGTTTCTTGGCGACGGCTGTTCGAGAGGGTCGTCGTTGAATCTTGCTTTGGAGTATACGGTTCTGGGCGACTAGGGAGATGGTGAGAAGGGATAGAGAGAAAGAAGAAAGTCTAACCTTGGGCAGGGTTGGCTTCCAAGACGGCGTAGGCATCTGCGTTGAATTTGACGATTTTTCCCATTCGATCCGGGGCTGGGAGACTATGAGTATGATTGAATAAGGCGAAAAAGAGACATACGTGGAAAGTCATCGTCCACTTCACCGTCATCCTCAGCTATTCTGAGTATCCACCCGATGGCACTGAGTTGAGTGTTCCATTTCTCGTCTTCCTCAGTGAGACCTTCATCGAGCTTGGGTTTCCATCCTTCTTCCCAATACGTCCATAGTGCAAACCCAATGACTTCTTCGACTGAGGCATCCTTCCTGACACTGAGCTCCATAGCCTTGTTTCTGGGCCCTTGTGCATGGGGAAAGTAGACTTGGACGTACGATGACGCATTCTCGCCGCGTCCACTGATCAACGAGTAGAGCTCGCTGAACGGATTAGTGGTCGTACCCGCTGATTTGAGCATCGCAGAAAGAGCAGACACGGCTGGAGGCTTGGGAGGTACGATGCGTTTCCGTGTAAAGGACATTTCTGTAGTGGGATTACGCTGTGGTCTGTGAGGACGAGACTCTGCACGTGGGCGATTAGGCGAGAGCTTTCCTGAGGCGGGCGTGAGTCGGGGGCGGGAGCGTCGGGAATTTGAAAGGGAGAGCATAGAGTTCATGTCAGAGGCGCTGTCAAAGTTTCCTGGTGTACGTGTTGTCGTTGCCGCAAATTCACTGTAAATAGTTTAGTATATAATCACACAAAGACAGCATATACGCACGGGTCAAAGTCGTCGTCGTCCATGCTATCATTTGCACCATAAGAAGTCGATGATGAGGACGAAGATGAGACAGCGTTGTCTTCGTCACTCGAAGAATCGTCAAAGCTGAGCGTCGGGGGCGGACCAGGGGGCGGGGCTGCGTCGGGACCTCTCCTCGCTGCCATCCTCAGTCGTCGTCGTCGTTCCATCTCAGCAGCACCTTTGAATCGTGGAACAAACTGGGGAGCCTCTACCACTGGTGGTGCCTCCTGCACCTTGATCTCTGGCGTCCCTTCTGCTACCTCCTCGACCTCTGCTTCTTCATTGACCGGTGCACTCGTTCCCACAAAGTTCTTCACTACATCCGGCTCCGTTGTCGATGATAGCAACGTCGACGCTCGTTTGCTCACAGACGCTCGTTTCCCACTCACACGCAATCCCAGCCCGCCTGTACGTCCACCCATGATCGTCTGAGTATACTTCAACCCTTTGGCGCCTGCGCCTGGTTGTTGTTCTTCGTCGTCGGAGATTTGAGGGCTAGACGGCATAGCGAGTTCGGGCCATCGGTCAACGTCAGCAAGAGAGGCGGCGAGGATGTAAGGATTTGAAGTGTAGGACGAGTCGAGAGAGATGAGACGGCGGCCATAAGGATCCTCGACGTCGCGTAGGTAGTTGAGTCTGAGACTGTGTATGAGATAGCTGCGAAATAATCAGAGCACGGCTGTAATTCAAGGTCGTGAACGTACTCGGTATCACTAATTAGCGACATGCCAGTGATGGTGACAGTCGAGTACAAGTGCCAGTCAGCAACGTGACTGACCATCAATACTCGATCAATACGCCACGATCATCATTTGCTTTTGTTTTGCTCAAGTTCTGTTAAGTTATCTGTCTTTTCCAAATCTTTTCTGCGCTTGTTGGTCGAATGAACTGGTACTCCAACGCCTCAATGGATTGCTTCGATTTTCGCCAATGTCAATCCGGCCTTTGAGATCGTCGTCGTGTAACAGCGCTACTCCTCGCTACTTTTAGACAAGGCTCTCGTTTTACTTGCACTTTCAGATGATTATTAACTTCTGCTACTTTTACGGTTCTACTAGGGGCAACCACATCTCGAACTTGAGCAATCGAGATGTCTTTTTGATCTTTGGAGATCTGAGCTTGAGTCGAGCTCAAACTCGGAGTCCGTCTGGCCAATCCTATCTTGATTCTTGAATAGCTGGCATATGCACTGCGGGGCTGTTATAATGAACCGTGGCTATTTCTTTGCCTAGTAGCCTTTGAATTTCAACGGATACTTCCCCTTTATCTTGGATCCATGCCGCTCCTTAAAAGAATACCAACCTCAGTAAAAATGCTTGAGGACTCGGATCAATTACTTATTATCGACAACGAGACAGGCGGGACTTTCACCCCTTCAAAAATGGGGGTGAAGGGTGAGTAAAGAGTTCGTATGGGAACCTAAACAGCGACGAACTCTTGACCTGAGCAAAGCGCCGTGTGAAACCGGGAGCTCGACTATGGCCTGCCGCGCTCCGGAGTATCGAGTCACTCAGAAGGTACCGACAATTAAGTCCCAGTGATAATGTTTGGAGCTACGTATAAAATAGGGTACGGCCAGCTTGAGAATAGTGTTGTCTGCATTCCTCATGGGACTCTTGTATGGGTGATGTGCTTGGTCAGTCTACTTTCCGACTCCCAAACTTGGAACCTGCCTTGTCTATCTTACCCGGCGCTACCACGAGGAAATCGTACAGTCTCGTACCTGGATTAACATGCTGGACAGCTGTAATGTAGAGTTTGCGCACTTTGTGCAATCCACCTCCGAGTAAGACGAGTTTTTGAAGGACTTTGTGAGTTCAAAAGTCATTAATTGGCACGAACGAGAATCAGTACGCTCATCTCTATTCCAGCAAGACAACGTTGTCAGGCTTTACGATGAGCGCCGAATGTAGCGCGGGCGTCCAAAAGTCCGCATATACTGTCAATCGCTCGCTCCAAGAGCCTGGTATCGATGGTTCTTGGCTTTGTCGAAAGAGTATGCGTGCCATGCCATCTTGTCGAAACTCACCTTTTACAGAGCTTGCTCCAGACACCTCGATCGAGGGGGGGTCGAACACTACGCAATACGCGTTGCTTCATGCATAACTTTTTTGTTCTTACACCAGAGTCATCAGCAAAGAGGCGAATCTTCGAGAACGCAACGAAGTCCTGGACCTCCACCACTATCTCACTATCCGTGGCGAAAGAAAGTAGCGAGGTACGCATACGCTTCGATTTGACGGAGTACAGCCTAGGCGTGGACCTTCCCCGGAGGTGTGACATGGTCCAGTATCTCTAAAGTGGATACGGCGCCGCAATGGGCTTTGTATTCTGGGCTAGCATGCGTAATTCAAGTCTTCGAGCCTCTCGAAGTTAATTTTGTGCCATAGGACCTTTATTCTTACAACATGGGGCAGGAAGGTGCAAATGTCGTCACGGTCATTGTGAAGCCTAAAAACATCGACCTCCAAGGTGCTGCAGATTTTCTTGGAGGTTACTGCAGAGCATTGTTAGATCAGTTCGAGAGTCGTAGAAACGCATCCAGAAGAAGGCTATTCCTATGCTGCTCGCCCTCTCGAAGTTTTCGGTAACTGGGTTCGAGGCAACATCCAGCGAGTCTGTTATTCGAGCGTCCCGCAGAATGTATACTTAACGCTCAACAGACGGAGCTTTACTACCGAGAGATATTTCGGTAAGAAGACCGCAGAAATCAAGGAATCGCTTCTTGTCACCCTGAGAGCACCGTTTGCCGAAACCGTTGCCCTGAATGAGGAAAGGAAGAGTGCAGCTTTCGAACTTCCAAATCAATCCCTAAATCAACGGTGATCAGCTATTTGGTAGAAGAAGCTCTAGGTTACGTTCACAAACCAAGTCGTAACAAAAAAAAAAAAAGAGGGGAGCAAAGAAATGGATGAGGCTTCAATTCTTACGGAGCTCAATGGCGCAAGGCGCCACAAAAAGAGCAAAATACAAAGCGAAATAATCATACTCCGGATAGCCTGTCAGAGTTATAGTGAAGCGAGCAGGAAAAAAAAAAAACAATAAATGCAACAAAATGTAAAAACACACTTTCTCCGCACACTACGTCGGTCTATTTAGCGCACCGATGTCTACGAAGCAACCATTGTCTTGCAGGAGGAAAGGCGGCGTGCCGTTGATAGAGCGATGTCTCGCTGTAGGTAAGAGAAGGGTTAGGTTTGCCAAGGAAAAAAAAACGATGACGAAAGACGGAACGCGGAACGCGGACTGGTCGGATTTGGGCGCCATACCGACGATTATATGTATCCATGGCTACGCTCGTCGTTTAATTACCGCTGCATTTACGCGATTCCGGATAATCCTTGGAATGATATCACAATGGTTGTTGGCAGGGTTGGATGCGGGGATGATCGGGGATCGGATGGGGTAAAAGCGCGGTCATGAGACCCTGGACTTACTCAAAACCGTTTCCGGCACGTTTCCGAACGTAGATCCTACTGGTAGCGTACGGAGAGCATGCCCACAATTCAAATTTTCTGTTGTTGTTCTCCAGATAAGGCAGGAGAAATAGTGCATGGAACATACTATCGTTAAGATTGCAGACGGGCACAATTGAAATACAACATTTATGACAGCGAATCAGTTTAATATCTGGAAACAAGGACGGCATGGGGGAAAGGGTTCAGTAACGAGAACCTTCTCTTATAACAACGAAAGCTTCTTGACAGGGGTACCTTCCGCCGACCCCTCTTCATCACTCCAGGCGGTGCTGCTAGCATAGTTGGAGCTCAGTTCATTGTAGCGCGCAATTTTCAACTGTTGACTAGGCGGGATCCGTTTGGCGATGTCCAAGATATGAGGATGTCCACCGTGAAGTATACCTATACGCTTCATAGCGAGACTCTAGCAGATGGTGATGATTCAACGAGCGAAAAACAGGGATGTCAAGACGATAGCGTACGTTATGAGCTCCGTTTGAGTGATCGTACACACCACCGAAGAAGGCTGTGGTAGCATCCTTGCCGATGAACTTGACAAGGAGATGAGCTCCACCGGGGTGCTCATCCATGAACGTGGAAACGTCATGAATGAAACCTGAAATGAGGATGAGGGGACGTTTCAGTGACTGATCCTGGACTACATAAAAGTCAGCTTATTTTCTGGTGGGATAGAGTTAGAAAAGACGTACAGCTCTTGAACGAAATAACAGGTAGGTCATCACTGTTCATGGGCCAAGTAAGCGATTCCTGGGTCTCCCGAAGACGCTTGAGTTGCATTGTCAGTTGACCCTTGCGAACTTCATTCTCAGGGAAAACTTTCAAATGACTCGCAAGTCCAATCTTCTGCATCGACCAAATGAACCATTTCGTGGGATCGTACTGGTACCACTTGATCGCGTTCCTGTAGTCCATCGGGAACTGCGAGCCCGAGTGTCAGATGCCGAGTGTATATGACAAACATGAAATGACACGTACTTGGTGGTGGAAGTTATGATATCCCTCACCGATGGTAGCGAAAGCTGTGATCATATGGTCCGTTGGCGTAGGCTTGTTATCGAAAGGAGTCTCCCCGAGCCAATGAGCGAGAGAATTGACGCAGAAAGTCGACTAAACCCAATACGATGGTCAGCTTCGTGCCGAAAATAATGGGCGCTTGAAAACTGACGTGATGCACGAAGACTAGTCGCAAAACACCAGCATATACGAACCCACCCTTCGCGTCACCCCATCGCAGCCACGCGATCGCAGAGGGAAAGAGGAACCCCATCGTCAAGATGAGCGTCAAGTAATGCCTGTGCTGCCACCTCACAACACTATTCTTGCTCAGATCACTGACATCCGCGACACCGGGCTTCCGCCTAGGCTTGACGAGCATCCAGCCAACATGCGAGTAGAAAAATCCCCGGTGAGCATTGTATGGATCGAGATCAGTGTCTGTATACCGGTGGTGCGCACGGTGACCTCGAGACCACCACTTGATCGATCCTTCCAGGGAACCAGCTCCCGCCATGGCGAGCATATACTGGAGCGGCTTTGAAGCATTATATGACCTATGAGCCCAGAGACGATGGTACCCTGCCGTGATACCAAGACCAGTGACGTAGTAATATACAAGAGCCCAGACAGCGGTCTCCCATCTCAGCTTGGTGTAATAAGCGCCGATAACTCCCATTATTGGGGTAGAGGTGAGAATGATGAAGGAGAGCCAGTTGATTTCATTGAGAATATTGGCGAGAGTGATTGGAGGTCGTGGTTTGGTCGTTGTCAGGGCGTGCTGAACGTAGTTGTCGGGGATGTGGAGGTCGATAGGTACGTCCTTCGTAGCGTTCGACATGGTAGTCGTCAGTGGGAGAGTGCCAAATTCTTGGGGTCAAGGGAATCATTTTGAGCCCCAGTGTTGTGGTCTGTGTGTATCAGCCACTTGAGTATCTTTCGAGTCCGTGCCAAGGAATCGTCCAGCGACGTCATCTAGTAGATAAAGCCAAGACGGGAAAAGAGGAGTCTACCAAAAATTCACCGCTCTCGTCTGATAAGAATCGATATTACACTGGCCCTGCAATGATTAGACCTGAAAAACCCCTCTCCTTTTGTTGAATTCGAGCCCTGAGACAGCCGTAAAGAACATTCTGGACATATTTGAGGGACTCTAGCATCGCCTCGGAGCATTTAGATGCTCCCACCACGAGTAACTGGGAAATAGAAGTCAAGAATGCGTGGATGTAAATTGAAAAGCGCGACGCGACGTTGACGCGCCACGATTTCCAACCAAACCCCAATCTGGAAATAACCTCCCCAATTTAGGTACCGGCAACACCCGAAAAAGTCTGTTACTGTTGCCATTGACATCATGATCGTTTACCAAGGGCTGTTGATACCATGGTGCGAGCGCTGGAATTTTACAGTGGGATAGGTACTTGTCTGTCTTTTCTTTTTCGCATATCCATTTACTTGCAAATGCACAGGCGGTCTTCACTGTGCCCTAATGAAAAGCCGAGTCTCTGCAAGCGTTATTCGTGCATTTGACTGGGACCAGAACGCGTGCAGGATATACAGCAGGAATTACGGGGAAGGAATTGTGCATCGGGTCCGTTGCCAGCCCAAATCATTTCTACTGGCTGAGCTCATCTGCAGGTGGACATATCGACATTGACAGCAACAAATTTAGGCGACTTGGGAGCGGATCTGTGGCTCCTCTCTCCTGCGTGCCAGCCATACACAGTGCTTAACCCGAACGCTAAAGGAGCAGGGGATCCTCGGGCCAAGTCGTTCTTGCATATTGTACAGACTGTCCTTCCTGAACTAGCCCCGACGCAGAGGCCTAGCCATATACTAGTGGAGAACGTTGCCGGGTTCGAGGTGCCCATTCTCGCATCCATTATCATATCAAGTTATGGACTGACGGGTCCGAAAGACTTCAAGCACGCGTCAAGTCCTTCTTACGTCCCTGCGCGAGCTGGGGTACTCCGTACGCGAGTTTTTGCTGACCCCGCTGCAGTTTGGCATACCGAATTCGCGGCTGAGGTATTATTTGCTTGCGAGGAAGGAGCCTTGGGTTGGCGAGGTTAATGGAGTGGTTCTCAGAGAGATACCTGGACGGGTGGCAGGAGAGATCAAGGCGGTGAGGGACTATCTGGACGACGACGGGGAAGGTTATGCAATTCCGGACAGGGTGCTGACCAAGTGGGGCCGGTTGTTTGATATCGTGCTGCCTGGAGATAGAAAGACATGTTGTTTTACAAGTGGTAAGCGTTTTGAACGTTGAGATGCCGTGTGTAAACTCACTTTTATTATAGGCTACACGCATCTTGTTGAGCGAGCTGGGTCTATTCTGCAGATGAACGAAGACCTCGACGTACGTCCAGTTCCTCTAGAAACTTTCTTTCATCCGCTCATTCTAGGAAAGACAACCAAGACGTTTGACGAATTTCTTTCGACTGCAGACCTAGCTATTCTACGACCCCTACGGTTGCGATATTTTACGCCCGACGAGCTGCTCCGTATATTTGACTTTGACCCGTTACTATTCCAGTGGCCTGACGATGTGTCGAGAAAGACGAAATACCGGCTGATAGGGAATAGCGTGAATGTGAGGGTAGTAGCAGCGTTGATAGACCATCTATTTGAATAGATTCTGATGGTCACTCTAGTCAGTATCTTAATCGCTTGTCCATGCTCGCTCAATGTCGCTAACAAGCCGAACACAGTGTGTGTGACGGAGAACTGGCAAGTTATTTGATAAATAGGGCTGTGCTCTCAACGACTGAGCCTCGGCATTTCTTGTCAATGCTCGCAAGTCTTGACACACAGCCGAAATAACAGACACCGACAAACTGCGGCCCTCGACTCGCAAACGCGGTAAGATTTCGGATGAGCAACGGAATCTGCAGACGGGCCGGTGCAGTCATGGTGGAATAGATCCTCATGGATCTCGCGTCACGGTACTAAGCGGCTGCTGCTGCTGCACGGACCGCCAGTTGCTCAGAGGACTGATTCTCGTATTCGGCGCCACACTAGTGTTTCCTCGTGAGCAGGTTAATTTTTCTTGCCGGTGTTATTTATAGGACAAGTCTTGATGGGTTAAGCTGGAATATCTTCTTGTGAGTAATTCTACTACCGGTCGGGGAAATTCCAAGCTTTAAACGGGCCGCCTCAGATAAGTACCGACTCGGAGGCAGAGGTTGCCAGAGCCTCAACAAAATCAGGTTAAGGGTCAACATGAAAAAAAAACCAACGACATTGTCGTTATTCGGAGCCATACGAGTTTGACGATCCACTGGTTTTTCTGTCGGTCCCGCATCCGTCGCCTAATAAGTGGTTCATATGATTGTGAGGATCATTATTGATATAGACCCTTGAGCCTGATTTTGGAATTACTTAGGTAAATCAAATGTACGCATCGTACGCGAGTTCTATAATTAACATAGATTTATTTTAGGAGCAACCCTGTAGGCGAGGCGCGTGGTGATAGCGAGAGATTTCTTCTCCAACATTGACCTTTTCTCTCAGGATTATTGTGGTGTGAGAAACTGCACTTGGATAAAGAGGTTATAAGGGAGCGGGATGATACTTCATCCACACTCTCAGGTTCCTCTTCAGCTCCTTTCCCAAGCTACAATGTTCAAGTCTTCTCTCTTTCGAGCCTTCATTGCAGCGGCTGTTGTCGTGACGGCAACAAGTATCCCACGTGGTTCTAGACCCGCTAAGCGTGCTAGCTGCACCGTCAACTCCGTCGCTACAGCTTCAGATCTTTCTGACTGTACAACGGTGACAATCGAAGCCTTCACTGTTCCTAGCGGGAGTAAGCCATCTCGCGTTACAATTTTGATGTGTGCTAAATCCATACGCACATAGATACCCTTACACTGGAGGTAATTGTGATGAATCCCGATAAGCGTAGGATTTATTTCTTTTATGATTTTCCAGCCTGCCGATGGCGCGACTGTTACTATGGCCGGCTCAATCACTTTCGCCCAGACGACTTGTACGTGCATCGCCATCTCTTTACTCTTCAAACTTTAGCTGAACGGCCGTTATCAGCTTCTGGACCGTTATTCACCATTGATGGCACCGACATTACTTTCAACGGGGCGGGATTTGAGTTCAACGTTGGTAAAAATTTCTGATGTACCTTGACGATGACTTGACCCAGAAGGATAGGGTAATGGTGCCTTGTATTGGGACGGCGAAGGCACGAACGGGGGTGTCGCAAAGCCTCATCCGCTCTTGAAGTCTGCCTGAGTTCCATATGGTGCTTTAACTTCGCGGCTGACAGTTTTGTAGGTTCAAGGGTTCGGGGACATACTCCGACTTTACGGTCAGCCTGGAAAGGAGTTTCACTAAAGCCTCATTCTCAAACCTCGTTTGATAGGTGCTGAATACCCCTGCGCAGGCCGTTTCCATCGGCAATAGTGATGGTCTTACTTTTACTAGTATCACTGTAGGTAGCTGTAAATTCCTTGGGAGTCCCTTGGTCACTGTCTCCGTAGGTTGATAACAGCGCTGGCGATGTTGATGACTTGGGTCATAATACAGACGTGAGTACCATTGGTTTCACTACCGAACAAGCTAGTTTACATTCACTCAGGGTTTTGATGTCTCTGCAGACGACGTGACTATTCAAGACAGCGTCGTAAAGAATCAGGACGACTGTCTAGCTATTAACGACGGGACAAACATCAAGTACGTGTCTGGCTTATGCATCTCGTCACCACTCTAAGTGGGGTTCGAGGTTCTTAAATAATCAGTGCTCTGGAGGCCACGGTATATCCATCGGTTCCATCGCTAGCGACAAGTCGGTTACCGACGTAACTATCAGTGGTAATACCGTCACCGATTCATTATATGGTCTGAGGTGGGACCGTCACGTCATCATTCGTATATACGTCGCTGAAGGCTCTTTCGATATAGAATTAAGGTGGACGCCTCCGCCTCTTCGGCTTCGGTTTCCGGCATCACCTACTCTGGGTAGAGCAAAAGGCACCATGCATGAAGGAGGCCGTTGACTGATATACTCCACAGAAACAAACTGAGCGGAATTGAAGAATTCGGTGTTCTGATCACCCAGTCGTATCCCGATGATGACGGAACCCCGGGGACTGGCGCGCCCATTTCGTGAGCACGTCTCTCTTGAGATTGGAGGTGTTCGTAATACTTACAGGACATTAAGGGACATAAACTTCACAGGGTCTGCCACAACTGTAGCGTGAGTAGTGTCTATGAAGTTTCGTAAATCGAGGGATTCATCATTATTATTTTGTTCCTTCATATAGAGTTGACTCTGACGCAAAGCGCCTCACCGTCGATTGCGGGGCATGTTCAGGGTATGAATGGAGTTCAAGTGGTGCCCGCAAAAGCAACGTGTTTGACTGACTCATTAGGACTTGGGATTTTTCGGCTCTCACCATCACGGGCGGTGAAGAGGGTACTATCGTTAGCAACGATGCTACTGTAAGGAGATCATTCTTGTTGCTGCCGTTAGTGTTGATGACAGGTGTATGCAGATATCCGGAGGCTCATACTGAAATGTTTCGTAACAAGCTGGAGACCTGTGATAATGCATTGAATTTACGATACCGGCCTTTCTTGTTTTGCGGTGCCTTGTAAAGCGCCACTACTTTTTCCTAGTGTAGCGTTGTATCTACAATGTCGTCGTGATATATCATTCAAGTTTGACTGTTACAGACACTACACATTTTGTTTTATCTCCTTGCGCCTAGTACTCTGAGAGCGTTCCGGGTAAAGCGTCCCACATGCTTACCAGAACCTGCAAAATTGTTAACCAATTACTTCATTTGGAACGTAAGACTTGACTTACTACTCTCTCGCCTACCCATGGCGCGCGTCCATGAGTTGTGCGATGGTTATGAACGAATACCAAGTCGCCAGCTTCCCATGTATGTACATATTCCAATTCGCGGGTGATCTCGATGACACGATTTAGCCATTTCTCAGGGATTGGTGTCCCGTCACCATATCCAGGTCGGAGATCTAGCAAGAGGTTAAATGATTTAGGGAAATCAGGGTCACGACGTAAGTGCAGTCCGTCCGTCCCAATGAAGGGGGGTTTGGTTGCTTTTTGGTCGATGGCAGACCCACGCTGGCCTACATGAAGTTGTTTGTAAGGTACCTTCATGAGAGAAAGTGACCATAGATAACACACCGGCAAGGCCGTTGAACCATGTCGGGGTTTATACGGCGGAAGGCTGGGACATCTTGAATGACTTCCAGAGAGCCATCGTCCAACCATTTGAAACGAGGAGTGAGCCTACGCGCCTGCTCTTCCTCTTTGCGTCGCCGTGTCGGCTCGTCGTCCTCCGGCAATATCTTTTGTCCAAAACAGTACTCTTGGGTCCAGTCGAAGTAATTTCCCTAATGAAAGGGACAGTCAATTTGGACATTGCCATCAGATCAAATGGTTGGTTCTCACATTTCCTCTATTGTGTCCGGCGGGAGGATAAACTTGCCGCATGGTTAGACCACGCTTCGCAAGTTCTTCAACAAACTCCGGCAGTTCTTCTTTGACCCGTTCATAAATCTCAAGAATGTTGGCAATGGGTGATTTGCCACCTAGAAGGAAGTCGTTAGTTGATGAGATGGAATCGAGTTCCGGCAGGCATGCTCTTACCTTCGTCGGCGGTCACCGTGGCATAGAAATGAATGAAGCCGGGGAAATGGGTGTACCGAGCGTACTAAAAGCAGAAATGTTAAATAACAAAAGGTATATTCGAGTGTCCGACTCACCTCATTATGTTGGTAGAATCTACGAGTCCGAGGACCTTCGTTCGCACTGAATACTTCTGGTGCCTTAGTGAGTCTTTTTCCAGCAAGGCCAATCTGTTCAAAAGGTTTGTTTCCTCGGGCTTCCTCAGCAGCAATAACAAGCTTTGAGAAAGTTTCCGCCGAGGGATGCCCAAATCCGCGAAATACGACGGCGCCGTGGTCTTGTAGAAGACGTGTCAATTCGCCTGATGAAGAGAATTTGCGGATGTATTCGACACCCTCTTCCACGGACAGCTGAGGACTTCCTTCCGGACGATGGAACGCGATGGGAAAGGCTTTCCCATGGAAGTCCCTAGCATTCAGTAGCTCGAGAAGAACGAACAGAGGTGTTTCTGGTGTAGACATAGTAGGCGAAGGCAACTAGGATGGCCGACCCAACACCTCGAGGCCGATAGATAAACCATTGGGTAGTACTGTCACGATGATAGCATGCCATAGCCAATCTGAAGTAGCGCAGGCCACAGGAGCAGGTACAGACGAACGGTGGCCGTGGTGTCTACCTGCCTGCTAGCCTAGTATTTTCTGACTAAGACAAGGAGGACGGCGTCATGTTTATGGTCGTAGGGACGATTTACAAGCATGTATTCATCTTCCATGACATTTCACGAAGTTATTATAAGTGCAAGTCAACACCATGTCAAGTTTCGTTCAGGAAGTGGGTGAGCATCAAAAAGGTAGCACTATTTTTGGAAAGATCATCGATTCGCACTGGTGGCTGTGCAATCACCACTTCAACTCTTCCAAGTCGAAAAATCGCGCAACGATCATTATTCTTGCTACATGAGATGACTCAGACACTTGGAATTATTCTATCCTGACATCCTCTGCATAAAAGTTTCAATGCCGCGGCGAGATGTGAGTTTCCAAATCGACTATTGCGTTTTCACGCAGACTAATGACGCCTTATAGCTTTAATCCTCAGGATCAATCGCTCGCTACTACGGAACTATAATCTTCCAAGTAGACCCCAGGCACGATTGTGTTTTTCCTTAAATACGAGCTTCGCCTTATAGTTGAAAGTGAGCACGCACCATGGTTCTCGCGGAGGTCGCTCGCGTCGACGTTGCTCATGTTGCCCCTGCGCAGAAACAAAAGCGCACATGGAAGGATTACATTTGGGCGTGTACTTTGTGTTTTTTTCCCGATAGAGCTCATGACTGATTAAATTTCGTCTAGCAAAACCCCGGAAAGTCGGCTAAAGTACGTACTACGTTCCGCTTCTCTAACGCCATTGCAGCTATTGGTTTATCCCACTCTTGATAGGAAAAATGACTCATCTACAAGACTGATTTGATTTTGATCACTTTCGGTTTCCTGGGAACATGGATCAAATATCTGGGTATGTTCTCGGACGTGGGTATGATTCAATGTAGTCTAATGCCTCCTTCCGTTCTACAGATAAGAGTAATCTTCAGACTGCCTTCGGTACGACTTATCATGAAGCTCTCTTCAAACAAGCTAACAGTCTGACCCGGCTATTGAATAGTTAGCGGCATGAAAGAAGATCTCGGGTTCTACGGTAATCAACTGAACGTGAGTCTTCTACATGACATCCATCTATCTATTTTCTAACACCGGCATTTTTTTAGTATGCGAATGTAAGTGCATGAGAAATGTTCCCGTGGTAGTTGCTTATGTTCCCTTCTCGCAGACTGCCTATAGCATTGCCAGTGTATGTCTTGCTCGAACTTCGTGTTCCGTGCACTTTCCTAACGATTCCTCTAGATTATCGGTCTTTGGCCAGCAAATATGATCATGGCTCGTGTTTCACCGAAGGTAGGTTTCTTCCGTATGATTTCTTCAACTAAAGGTCTCCGCGAGATCTTAACAACTATGCGTAGATTCCTCGAGATTGGTTGGACAATTAGCACGTTTTGTCAAGCTCAAATGACAAATACTACTCAAATGTGCGCGATTCGCGCGTTGGTTGGGCTATTTGAAACGTGAGCCTTTCGTTTGTCATTTGTTGAAATCAATTATTCAACGAGTCGCACAGAGGCCTATTGGTCATGCAGTAAGTTCTTCTATGCCTTTGCAACGATGGAAGATAGTAATTTCTTTCATTTGTGCAGTGATCTACTTGACAGGGGTGATCATCGCATCTATTCAGCTGTGTTATTGTATTCTTACCACTGAACTTTAGGGCATGGTACAAAGACGACGAACTAGGGCGACGTATAGCGCTCATCAACACTGCGACAGCCGTCGGCCCCATGTGCAGGTATGCCGGAATGCGCATTTCTAACTCCCCCCAATTTGACACATCACATCGTCCTTTCATAGCTCATATCTCCAAGCCGCTATCTATAAACCTCTGAATGGTCGCTTTGATCACGCCGGATGGCAATGGGTATGGCTGTCTTTCTATCGTTATTTATAATTAAGCCCTGATAAAGTCCCTGCCTAGCTGTTCTATATCGACGGAATCATTTCTGTCAGCCGTGATTATACCTCAGTTGTTCCTCCTCCCCGATGTACCTGCACGCCAAACGCCGAATTGGATGTTCACCGCTGCAGTACGTTGGCAGAGTTCTCCTGGGATCCCTGAAGTTAATGGAATTCTACACTACAGGACATAGAACTAGCGCGTGATAGAAACCCGAGGGAGGGTCGTGTAAAGCAGGATAAATTCACTTCGTCTCAGGTATGCGATTATTCTATCACTTGGTACCGATCTCATGATTGCTCTAGATTCGAACGTGGTTCTTGAGGCCTGAGATACTTCTCTTGTGGCTCATGAGCTGGTGTAACTCGGTGTGAGTAAGCCGACATGCTATTAGTCATTTGGTCCTGACATATTGCCGCCAGTGGATCGAAACCACAAGACTCGTTCTCTTTCTGGTTCAAGGTGCCTATATTTTCCTCTATAGTATATGATCTACTGACTTGTGGCTTCTCCTAGGGATATAACAGCATAAAAAAAGGCAGTTTCACCGTACAACAAATCAGTGTGTTTAAAACAGCTTTCTTATATATCTTCTCTTATCACCATTTCCAGATGTCTACCCCACCTTCACCTATCTCGTTACATTCATCAATACGTTAATAATCGGCTGGACTAGCGATACGATATTCAATGTGATATTTTATTAACCGACAGGTAGCCGAATGAGACTAATGTGAAATTTTCTATCCTGCAGGGTCGACGGTGGCCGCCGCTCTGTGTTGCCGCGACTCTCAATGCAATTGTGTGTGTGCTGCTCGCTGTGACACTGGTGTTTCCGAAACATCGCGCTTTCCGTTGGTGTAAGTGCCTTACTGATGTCCCTTGATTTTCCCTACTCATCATATACGTTCCGGTTGTAGTCCTCTACTACAACACAGGATGGATCCAATCGTCGAGTTCGATGTTTTAGGCGTGGACACAAGACATTTTGTAAGCTGATTATGTATTAACAGCTGGGTAAGCGGCCATAATTGACTAAACCGCTAGTGCTGGTGACCCTGGCCTTCGGTCGTTTGCAAGTGCTGGGTAAGTTGGCCGAAGATTTTTTTTCTCAGTGATATGAATCTTACAATATTCAACTTAGACTTAACGTAGCGTCCGGAATCTGTACGGCAACAATGTACGGCCTTTTCTCCTCCGAGCTCAGTTCATTTACTCACTGCACCTCAGCCCTCTCGCCCTCTTCCAAACGAAAGACCAGCCGGCTGTCACGGGAGGCAATTGGGCAGGCTTTGCCTTCTCCCTATTCTCCCCTGCAGCTGCTCTCACGTTAGCGTGGTAGTAAGTCCAAATCAGCTGTCGCACGTCATCCGAGCCTGACTTTGTAACCGTCAGTATAGGAACCATACACTACAGAGATACCACGAAGATGACGAAGCAGGCTCGAGTATCGATCAGGGTGAGGATGTCGATAAGAAAAGCGTTGATAGTGTGAAGGGACTTGATCCGAAATAAAACAGAACTGTTAGCGGTGTATTGGCGACGATTTATTTATTCTAGGTGTCCCTAACTGATATGTACTAATACATAGCGTACTATGGTATCAAAGTCCTTATCGTCTTGGAAGTCGAGTCCAATGTCCGCAGGGAATCGTAGTATAGAACAGGGCCGACTTGGCCTGCTGGTGCGCCACATAGCCTAGGGCTTTCTAGACGCCGATCCTGCTCGCTCAACCCACATACCCTACTTGAGGGGATCTGATCCTGAGCATTAGGGATAACCAAACCGTCATGATAGGACCCTCCGTGGACCACGCATATTTGATCACTACCAAACGAATAGTAAGTACGACGTGTAAGTCCTTCTCAGACATCCTTCTTGGACTCGAGTGGGTAACAGATACTTAACTTCCGTGAACATTGGATGATGTATCATGGAAGAATCAAGTCCGCACCAATCGCGAGCAGGGAAAGCATCAAGCCTTCCCGCGTGGAAGCCATGCTCGTGATTAGGTTCGTGGCTTTTGATATTCCTTTCTACGTACTTATGATATCCAAGGTTACTTCGCTCTCAGGCTGCATCTTCAAGGCACCGCAGTCAAAGTTGGTTACCGCCCAAAATCTATTGCCTGCGATCCCATCCTGCGACAGCCCCCTTCATGGCTAACTCGGTGACGAGATCCCACCACGAGGCTCCCACATCAGCTTGTGTGCTAGCGTCAATTCGGAAATGATTCCTTCCCATCAGCCGCGATATCCCGAAGTCAGCATTAACGAAGCAATATACGAGAGGGGAGCAAGGTACAGTGCTTCAATACAAAACAGCTACGTCACTATCCTGCGTGCGCGTGGTCGGAGAAATCGTCAAGCCTTGTGTGAAGTTTGTTTGCTGGTGGATACATTTCATTGCATCCGTGTCGGAATCGATCAGCATCCGGGGAAAGATGTAAGATGCATGTCCTAGTAATCGTATGTTGCATGTGCCTATGTGTGCTGCAGTACCTATATTGGTATGGCTTCTCCCTTCCTACATGTCTGCAGGCCATCATGACGAGAGGGGAAGGGGAGATGAAAGTACGGCAAGTGCAAGGGTCAGGAATGCTGAGAGTTATCTAGTAAAGAGTACATAGTACTAGTTCCTTCTGGCAGGTATTCTTAACCCTCAAAATAGGCGTTAAACATTCTTGCGGCTGTTACTTGTTGGGAATCCGCGAGATCCCGGCGTGAATATAACGTTAGGCAATTAAGCAACGGCAGCGGAACACGTTTGTACTGCGCCAAATCGTACACTCAGGAGGAGTGATGGCACCGAACTCAATATTATGACATCGAGAGCGCTTGCGCAAGTCCTCCGGAACCGCCAGGCCAAGTCGGCCGAGAACCCAGCAGGAGCATGTGCAGCAGAAGATTGAATGGGTGAATGCAAAGGTCAACAAGCATCAAGTCGACATCGCATCATTCCTATTCGCAAGCGCTTTGATCCTCCCTCATCAATGTTATTCGGCGAGGAGGAGTTTGTCAGCCGCATACCACTCGGGATAACGATTGTATTGGAGACATACGGAAGGACAGCATTTTCAAGCCTGGGACTCGGAAGGAACCAACAACATTTCAAAGTGAGGGGCCTTTATTCGGACCACTAAACTGATGTAAGGAGTAATATCACCATCACTACCGTTATATCACAGCTTGCGCCGCCTATTTGTTGGATACCTATGCCGCAATGTATTTCTTCTCGCCCCTGAAATGTCCATAGCGGTCCGGTCGCGGAGGATGGCCATACTTGGGCGCGTCAGCATCTAGAAGTGAAGGGAGACTAAGCAAGGAGGAAAAGAGAAACGGTATAATGAATACGCACGCAATACGTTCTTGTACACAACGTCCGAGCTCTCGTCCCAGACCTCTCGCCACATATGCGCGCCACCTCCTTGCCTACCGTCTAGGCTCCACTTTTTACAGAATTCGCGGACGTTGAACCCCGTCCTGGCAGACTGCGGAACGACAGGGATGGGGAGATACCGGCTGGTAACTCTACCGGCACGAGAGCGGGAAGTGATGGAGCGCGCTTCTGTGACAAGACTGTACGGAGCGTCGGGACGGGCGGGTTGGGGCAGGAGGAGCAAGGTGTAACGGTGGTACGGGGTTCCCTGTTGCGGATGAGGCGGAACGTACTGGGTATGTGTATTGAGGTTTTTAATCGGACCGGACGTGATTGCTGAAAGTGGGACGTTGGGACTGAAAATTCTAAGTCCAAGTCTGAATGAAAAACATTGAGACATACCATAACCAATGCAAGAACGTGGTAAAGGTCTCATTCTCTGGGTCTGGGACATCTGGATCAACGAGCATCATGGTGTATAGCCTGGTATCGAGGTGGAATGCGGTCGCGTACACGGTCGGAGGCGCGATTGTCTGCTTGGGACTGAGGAACACGCCTGGCTCGATTCCACGACTGCGATACGTCGGGCCTGCGAGGTGCGTCTGGCGAACCTTGATAGAGACATCGATACTGGGATGCAGCGACGGTAAGACGTCCGGAACCACATTCATTTGGTGTATACGTTCCATCTACAAAGTCAGAAAAAAAAGATTAAATGCAACAAAAAAAGTACTCACCAGCAAATCAAGCTTCCCTTCTCCTCTCCAATTCTGTTCCCTCAAATGCCTATGAGCAGGATTGCGCATGTCCACCAGCCGACTCTTGACCGCCCACCGAACTTCCGGGAGGTTGATCTCGCTCTGGACTTGTAGGATCCTCAGCAACTTTCGTTTCTCCTCCTCGTCTTCGTCACCTGGTTTGATGCTCCTGCGAACTTCAGCAGCCCCGCGCTTGAGGCGGAAGCTGTCTTGTCGGATGAGCTTGATAGCCTCGTCATACGCGGGTAAGACGCTTGTCGGGAGAGCGGGTCGCCATTTGGGTGTCCTCGCTGCCTTTTGGGGTGATGCAATGGCAAGTCGAGTAGCAGCAGGTTTTCGTCGCACGCGTGTAACGCTGGTGGTGGAAGACGAAGACGGCTTGGATTCGGGTATCCCCGCCTTTGGTTTTATCGTTCCTTTTGTCGGTGCTACGGGTGGTGGTGGTGGTGTCACTGACGACGACTCCGTCGCTTGGAGCGTCGTGTTGCACCGTTACCAACGTCGATGCTGGCAGACGTAGCCGACGTAGGACCAGCATGGTCGTGGTTAGAGGTCAAGTTTTTTCGTCTCTTTCCTTTTTCGGGACGCGATCGACACACTTGAATTTTTTTCTGAGATGAGGTATAAATTGTTCTATGAATTAAGCAAATGCATGCTCATGAGGTAGGTACACAACACAAGAGTAATAGCATATAACCAACGAGAGCAAGAGTAAAACCCAAGAGAAAAGAAAGCAGCTGTACAACAGAGTACAGTACAGTAGATAGACGCACATACAAAACGCGCTCAGGGTTCGGTGGTGGGAGGGATATATACAGGAAAGGAGGATATATGCATAAGGATGGTAGCGCAAGGGAATAGGTATAACAAGAAAGCGCAGCGAGCATTGATTAGTGGTACAGTGGGATAGGGCCTCAAAATATACAGTAATAAGAATAAACGAACGACGGGTCGAGGCTAGAACGTCGAAAGGCAGATCTGCCTGACTTGGAGGTCCACAAGCTCGGGATCGCGAGGGAAACGATATTGGAAGTCTGAAAGATACGTTAGGAACAAGACAATAGAGTAGAAGAGAGAAAAGACGTACCACCGTCTTTTATAACGGGATTCTCTCTACGCCTTTTTTCCTTCTCGGCTTCCTTCTCTAATCTAATCTCATATCCGGCCTTGCCACCGGGTAACCTTGCCCCTGCGAGGGGTGTTTCCTGCTTGGGTTCCCATCTGCCTCCGCCAGTAGCCTTGCATAGCACACTCGAACGCTTGAGGGGGTACGCGTCGAGAGCACCATACGAAGGCTCCTCAGCTAGGGACACCTTCAGCCGCCGCCGTGATCCTGAGGAACACGACGAACAAGCTAGACTGACGAGCGAAGGCGAGCTGCGCAGAGAGCGCTCAACGCCGATGATGGATGGCGGTGGTGTTGCGAGACTGCTCGTCGAGCACGACAAAGCCGGCGAGTGAACGAGATCAGGCGTCCGAGGACATCCATAGATCTGGTCGAAGCAGTCATCGCAGACACGAGCGTCGTAGATCTTGGCTTTCCTGGGACTGGAAAGCAGCGATGGGGACGTTCCTTGGGGGATGGAGGAACGGTAAGCGGGAGGTATCGAGGAGGGGGGTCGTGCGCGGTGTGCACTGACTGCAGAATACGCCTCCGCATTTCCGGCAGTGCTGCTTAAAGTCAGTCAAAGGTGCTCGTGTAAACGCGCATATACTCACATGTCTCCGCTCAAATACGCTAAATCGCACACGACAGAAGAAGTTGTCACAGCATGAAGCCGCCGAGTCATTCTGTAGGGGTCCAATGTCAGTGTTGAGTGTAGAGACCATGGGCGCTGTGCTCACCTTCCAGAGGTATCTGGGCAGTAATACGGCGAGATGCTCGTTTGCCCTCAAATTAGGCGAAACGGTTGGGATCTCGATGGGGGTCTCTGGAAGAACAGGGCGAGACGGGCCAGCGACAGGCATGGGTGTGATGAGATGGTCGTCTGGGATGTTGTCGACGACGTTGGAAGGGGAGGGAACGGAAAAGGTGGCAAGGGCAGCGGCAAGGGCAGACATGGTTTGGGTGGGAAGGGGCGGAGGAGAAGGGATTTATTTAAACGAATTCAAAGTTGGCCAAATGATGTATGTAATGCGAATGTCCAAATCTGATCAAACGCCCAATTTTCTTTAGAATACAAGATCCAATCTCGATCACGTCGGCCCTTTTTTGCCACGCGCAACGGGATTTGGCGTTGTTTATTTATTGAGATATTTATTCATTTATGTAATTCCCCAAATGGCAGCTCCATTGGCATTGCCCTCGCGGTTACATGTCGGGCAGTCTCTCCCATTGTACCATGATGAGGCAGGATGCTGGAGACTGTCCAAGTGGATGTATAGCGGTGGTTGCTTGCTGTCCGTTGTCGTCGTCTTGGCTGTCGACCAACATCCGCAGCGTTACAGGCTCGGATGTCTGAAATACATGTGGCCAATCGTCCCTGAGAAAGCGGCAAAATGAATCTGGCATCGATCCCAATGGGGTCGATGGCACATTGCATCCGTTCCCACGGTATTTTAACCGATAATTTCGAGCGCGTCCCGCCGAGGTTACGGGTACCTGGCTACGCGCCACGCAACGAATAGAAAATCAGACAAAGGTAAAAGTAGGGGAGGAGTCGTCAATTATCTTTCTGATACAGCCAGTACTTTTCCATTACACCCAACACCATTTCTTGTTCGACACCGGTCTCCTTGTAATGAAGCAGCTTGATCATCTCCTGCAGCACCTTGTCCCCCAGGAATGGATCAGCAGAAGAGGGGCTAGAAGAAAAAAGGTAGGCAAGTACAGCAGAATAATACCAAACAGCGTCCTTGCTAGCAAGCCTCGCGACCGCGGACTCGTTCAAAGTTCTGACCTTGTTTAAAAGCCGGATCGACTCGAGTGCGAGTGCTTCGCGAGCTCCACTCTTTGCTTCTAGATGACCCGCCACTTCCTTGACCAAAACAACCACTTCCGGTCGCACATCCGCTATTCCGGCCGATCTCCCGAACATATCCTCCAAGTATTCACTTCCTCCGAGCATACCCAGCGCCGGCTTCACGATCCGGTCCACCACCAAACTCACGATTTCTTCTGTCAAAACATTCTCCATAACATATCCCACTAGTCGTCCTACCATTTCCACTTGTCCTTTCCTTATTTCTTCCCTGGGTCGCTCAAGAAACGAAGCACACGACTCGACGGCGCGGATCGCAGTTGACAGTAGAAGCCCCGCGTCACCAGAGTCACGAGCCCGTTCATACACTCCAAACGTCGAAAACAGCACAGATGTGTCTGCCTGTTGGAGGATCTGTGCCAGATTTTCAATGATAATCGTCGAGGCTGATCATGAATTCAACCCACCCTCCAAAATACCACGAATTGCCTTTTTCCTATTACTCTTCTTCTTTTCCTTTTCCGGCTCCTTCTCTTTCACATCGAGGTTCCCTTACCTCAAATTATTCCTAGAAAACACTATGCGAAAAAAAATTATAACGTACTTGTTTTCTCGGTCTCCAACTCGACCTCTAGCTCCCTCAGCCGCTTCTCCAATGATTCAGCCCTGTTGCGCCACGGATTGTCGGCCGGATTATCCTTGACGAGCTCGGCACGCAGGGTCGCAACATAAGCTACTCACAAATATCAAATCCCCAGACGACAGTTCCAATTCCCAATACATATACCCCAATGCCAACGACGACCGACAACAGTTTGAACAATTCGGAATGCGCAAGGAATGAAAAAAAAAATGCACGCGGCTAGGCGTTAGCTTTCATCCGCGTCGGATCGTATCATTCCACGTACAGTCGATTGACGAATCCTGTGGCTTGTATTTTAGTGCTGTGAGAGCCTGTGTCTGTCAGAACTTGTTCGAAGTACCCACATTGATCACTACTCACCACTGCTATCCGAAGTCGGTCCCCCAAGCTTGCCGTCGTCGTCGTCGTCGTCGACATCAGAGTTGACACCACCCGTCACATCACGCAATTCACGAGAGAAGCATTTTGCATCGATACATTGTAATAATAAACTACCAATACTTGCACTGCTACTAGTACCTACTAAGACTACTACTACAAAATATATTCATTCATGCCTTCTTACTGGCGAATCGTCAAGCCTTACTGGCGTATAGAACGGTCCTGCTCCCCGTCCCCACATAGTATTCTTGGGCGTTGCAAACGGTCCACTGAACTTGATTCCGCGCGACGGTGTGCTCGTAGGGATCAAATGGAGGCTCTTCATAATGGTCGTATGACCGAGGCGTCCGAGGCAAAAACTGCTGGTGAATCCTCAATCGCGCCAGCGGCAAAGATCGCGTCGTACCCCCGCCTTCGAGGCGCATAGTCCATATCTGTCGGTGCGAACGTCGGCTCCCTGTAAATTTCCTCTTCCTCCTCTTCCTTCCCGCTCAACGTCAGTCGGCAGCTGACAATCGCTGCAGTACCAAGGGATCCTTCCTCCCGCCCGAGATCCCTGATGCTCCGGATGCCTATGCATTCCAGGTGATACCACATCTTGCAGTCATCACATTGTAACCAGTTCCCGCCCGTCGTCAGTCCCCCGACAGATGCACACGACCTCATCATCGCTGTCACCGCCCCGGAGGCGTTTCTCGCGTCGGTATTCCAAAGCCCGGACACTGCGTTTACTCAGCAATGCTGCCCTTGCATCGCCGGGATCAGCTCGGAAAATAACTTCGCCTTCGTCGTCGTTCACCTACCGGGTCAGCGGGTAGCCCGATCATCTTGCCCCGACCCCGCCGTGCCCGGCACTGGCCTATCGCCATCGTCATCGTACACGACGCCCCACTTGGCCGACGGAATCACATCGCCATTCGCCATCCCCGTCGCCTTCGCCATCGCCCTCGTCGTCGGTATCCCGATCCAAGAACCGTTCAATCCACCCAAGCCTTTCCTTTTCCTCCGCCCGCGCCAACTCTGCCCTTTCCTCCGTCCTCAGCCGCCATGGGAACTCACTGTCCGGCCAGTTAGGGCTATCTTCCATCTCGATCCCAGCGCTCCTTTCCTTCTCTCCGTCCTTTTTCTTTCTCCTAGAACTGCTCCCGCCGTTCCGCCGCTTCCCGCCCTCTGGAACCAAACTCTCGTTGGGGATATCCAGTAATACTCGGCCTTTGCCTTCCAATTCAACAGGAAACAATCTTGACGGACCATGGTGCAACTGGTTCTCGCTCCGGAAAGCCTCAAGTCTTTTGCGTTTCTTCAGCTCCTTTTCCGTCAGCGGTGGCGGCTCTTCTGCTTCCAGCACTGAGACTTCTGGCGCAACTAGCATTGGTTGGGGCTGTCGCACCCAGTCGGCCGTCCGATAACGCCCGTAGCCTCCAGCCATTAGACTCTCCTCAAAACTCTCCTCGCTCGTCTCCTGGAACAGCTTCAGCCGCCGTCCTTTATTCGGACTCTCCATGATTCCTACCACCGAGCTCTCTGCAGAACCCTCCTCTCCGTCTTCCAGTGGTCTTTTGCTCCGTTTCAGATACTCTGGTCGACGCTTCTCTACTTCCTTCTGCTCCTGCGCCATCGCATGCCTGATCCTATCGATTTCCCCTCCTGCACCAATGTGAGGCGGCGACAAGGGTGGAGATTGGAGCGTACTTGGCATTGGAAACAGAAAACACATCATCCACATGCATCGGGCTCCCCCTAATGGGCTTAGCAGAGAATGGCTGAGGACAACGCAGTAGTCGATGGAGACGGTGATTTGGACATACTATTGCAACACCATTAGAACAGCAACAGTTAAATAGGTAGCGGATACGTACGGTGGGGGACGAGATGTAGGTGTTCGAGGGAGATTCGAGGCACTGTCCATTCTTCAGCATGTCTTTCATATAATACTTACAAGCAATAAATCTTACCTGTAAGGTGGCGCCAGTCTCGATACAAAAGGACTCGATTCGGGCGTCATCATACCCATTGCACGAGGCGTTGCTGGACCAGGTTCCTTCCTCGCAGGCGGCCTCATACCCCTAGCCCCCGTCAGTCAGAAAGTTCATCGAAATAAGCATGCCAGAACGTACGAATTGGTGGGCGTATCTGGAGTATGCGGCAACATGTACTGATTGAACGTCATCGTATTGTGAGTCGGGCTCTGAGGCGTTGGAAGGTGTGCATATCGAGATGTTTGCTCCGGCGGTGGAAGGGGGCTACTTATCGTCAGTTCGATTGTTCAACATCTCGAAGAGAATGGCAACAAACTTCATCAAAGACATGAGGCCCGACGTCGAGGAGCTGAAGCTGGAGCCAAGCCTGCCGCTTGAACTGGGGGTATTCGCCAAAGTTCTGTTTGGATCAAAGTCGGACATGCAATGCTAATTGCAACGGGTTTCGTTCTAATTTTCGGTTCAAGTTTGAAGTCGAAAGGGTGGCGCAATGAGCAGATCGATAATAACGGGTATAAAAAATGAAGCAGCAAGAATATTAGAGTATGTCGAAATGAAGGGATGGGAGTGAGAGAGAGAGGGGACTGGATTTACCCTTTCGGATTCCTGATCCCTATGTTCGCTTTCTCTGACGTAAGCAGTCTCAGTCTCTCTTGTCCCTGAATGGTAAAAAAACAAAGTTGGCGTCCGTGTCAAGGCTTGAATCTGTGTGGACGTTGATCAGGGTAGGATTGCATTCCCTGGTAACCGTTCGTTAAACGCCGTCAGTCATTGAGTCTATATTCTCATCAACTGGCGAACAGTACACGAAGGTACGTACAAGAGTACAATTCACTTCATTGTCTTGACACTATCCTTAATACAGAATTTCCTACTTTATCTTCTGTCTTCATTTTTTCCTATGAACGCCACAAAAGAAGCACAATGTTCACTCCGTAACTTACGGCCTTGGGTAAAATTTGAAGGTTTCTAGCTCTAGGGTCTTCGATGGTAACATGCATGCCTCAGCAATGGAATTCTATCGGTAGCAATACCGCAGTCAATCATGGGTCTCAGGCTTGACGACTTGATCTTTCAGTCAGTGTCTTGTCGAACTCTATACTGGCCACTCATCACTCCGCCTAGGGTTGTACAACAATGCGAACGCCAAGTAAGCATCGCCCCCAATTGACATGATCTGTCTCTCTACCGTTCGGTTCCCGACATTGCAGAATATTGTGGACAGGTCCATCTGAAGGACCGGCGTGTGCAACATGATTTTTCTAGGCGTGCACGCGCGTTCGAATTACGGTAGAGCCAAACAGTTTGACGGACCTGCTGGGAGTGCGAACACCCTAAACCACTTTGACTGTAACATTGTACGTCACCACGCCCGCTGTTGCTTATACCAGGTTGACCGCGTAGTAAAATGTGATGACGAAATGCCTGTACATCCTCATCAACTACTCTCTAGCGGAGTCCGGCCCGGCACAACGATAGCGAAAGATTCTGCTCCTGATACCTTCCCGCGAAGTCGTGTTTACATTCGTAGTACAAAGGTTCAGAATCCTATATATAAACCCTGGGAAGGCTTCTTTGCAGATCGTGTGCATGGACATTGCATGTAAAGTCAAATCTCGAGTCTCAATTGAGTATTCAAGCTGACACCGTGTAATTTACAGTTTGAGTCTATTTTCAGTAAACAAACAGCGCTTCACTTGCACCGATTCATCGTACCATACAAGAACCAATCACCGTCTCGTTTGGCTCCACGAGGGAACGATAGACAGATGAATGGACTTGCAGTTCTCTGATGACTGATCTTGACAAAACCGTCTGCGCTTGTGATCATCATCTTATCCAGAGCCGACGTCATGTCTGTTTCTTTAGGTGCGGGTGGAGTCAGGCTGAAATTTTATGATACGAGTCCAGTCGAAGCGAGTTATTCGGAACGCAGAAGTGGTCAGGTCTCCCCATAACAAGGAAACAAAGAGAGATGAACGTAAGTTGCCTGCTTTCAGGTGCTTCTCCTCTCACACCAGGAAGATCACTATGTTCCTCCAGATGGTTAAAGTCCGTGCTATCATGAGTGCGCACCCGGAGGTAGCTGACGGCGACGTCCGCATATAGACTCTCCAGAGTGATTGTTCGGCAACGCCGGGTTGCGAATCATGCTCAGAAACAGGGAGGATACCGACGGTCGTCTCGCGGTAGCCGGACCGGCTAAGAGTGAGTTCCATTCGTCGTGACCTAACCTGGAGCCATTTCTGACCCTTCTATCCGGCGATGTTGAGGTAATCGTCGTATTCATGTCAGAAAACAGGGTATCCAGTATTGATACAAGCCTGGGAAAGATAAGAGACTTCTTCCCAATACACGATGCCCACAAAGCTCCGTTTTGTCCGTTGCGAACTGCAAAGGTGAAACACCTCTAGCCTCGTTGCCACATGTAGAGTATGGGGATTCAAGCACTGAAGACTCTCAGAGAGTTTAACACGGCCGCTGTGGTTCTCCAGAGGAACCCTCTCGCCAATCAAGTATCTAATTTCTTCACGCAGTATGTCTGAATTGGAGCGTCGTACGTATTCACCAATATTTTGACCTCCGGAGGTCTGAAGTCTACGCCGATTGACAGATCATCGGTCTGGTAAACGATGTCGATGTAAACTCGAATATACAGGGAGCGCCTTGATCATCCCGGAGGAGCACCCGACTTATCGTGACTGTACTACCTGAAGTCGACAAGCGCCTTCATACAGACCAAATTCATCACATTGTATTCGAGATCAACATGAACGATAAAAAGGTCTTCAGTGACTCCCCAAGGATCGCTACCAGAGCTCGAGACAAAGGTCCTCGTCCGGATATTCCATGGTTATCGCTCCGTCGACCCTTCACTTCTACGGAATTGAGAAGTGATGCAGACCAAGACAGAGAAGCCTTGCGCCACCGACATCAGTTCTCCCGTGAAGGAAATCGCGCAGTCCGGAGGAGACGGTCCTTGAAAAAAGTAAGCATCTAGTTCGAGCATTGCGCCACTAGTATAAAATCTCCCAGGTCGTATACGTGATGGTGAGGATAAAGTTACGGTGGAGGTCTTGTATTTATCCGAGCCCAATGACGTATCACAATCCAGAGGCAATGTATTTCGGGAGGCGTATAGGCGCACGGGAGTTTGCCTTCTTTGCCCTAAGACCACCTTCCGTCTACGTGCTCAAGCTTACTCTTTATTGCTGACCTTGACGTCGACCAAGTCGGCACCGGATTTTAAATGAGCCGCGTTCACAAGTCAAGATGGCTCTTCAATACTCAGCCATACCTAATCACAGATGGAGCAGATGTGTTCTACAAAATGGATCAGGAATAAAGCGAGAGATTGAGATTTGTCAAAAAAAAATACTGACATGAATCATGCGACTCGGACTCGGGATGAGGTCCGTCCGGAGGCGCCTCCTGTCGTAGCCTGTCGTGTGCCCATAAGTAATCGAGTGCAGGGCCTCGTAAATCAGAGAATAATGATAGGCTGTGTGACAGCGCGGCTTCGCTGTATAAAGCTTGAACAGGTCAACAGTTTCTGTCATGAGACAGCGGAATAAGTCGAAACTCTATGTTGACACTGACTTGAAGTCTAAGAGGGTACATATTGTAAGAGTTCCAGACCAAGGATCAAACTTTTCCCACGTTTCGATCGTATATGGTCTCGACAACGTTCTAACTGCGCTAAGAAAAAAGTGAGTAGGGAAAGGGTGCGCTGTTTCGCCTCAGATTGACAGTTCAATCGGTGTCCAGGGATGGGGCGGGAGTCCGACTCCTACTTGAGGGTAGAGATCAGGTATAGGGCGGCGCGTCGGACCAGGTCGGACCCACGTCGACAAATCTTTGCTGGATATGTACTAGGTCGGTGCTTCAAAGTACTTGTTCTGAACCTGTACAGGCTCGTGCTGGTTTCAGATGCGTATATACCCAAATCTGTCCACACAGAAATTGCGTACAGGGACGAATGACATCACGGTCGCTACGATGCTTGCAAATTGCACTCATCTCAAGGCTCGACCCGGAACCTTATTCAATTTAGTGAGGGGTAATTTCTAATTCTGTTTAATTTTTCTGATTTAGTATATCCCGCCATTGCTATTGAGCTACTTTATTCGACAACAATGCGATGAAGAGCGGTGCGCCGCGTCGGATATGTCTAACAGGAATCTCTCATCTGTGCCTCGCTCCTCCGTACCCTAGAAGATGATAGAAAGGAGTAAAAGTGCCACCTCCGCGACGGCGACAAAGCAAACTAACTTGAACTTTGGTTCTTCGCGCCACTTCCGCCCGCTTAAGTTGGTTCTTGGTGCGGCCGGAATTCGAACGGCCAACTACCGAGACTCGGCGCCTTTTATTTGGGCCGCCGTACATACATCGTCCGCTGAAAAAACGCCTGTCTTAATGCTTTCAAATGTCAGTGATTTTCTACACGTATTAACCGATTATTTTCCACCGGAAAAAAGCCGCACGATTGTTTGTGGGGTTGAAGCGCTCCGGCAAGCCGACTCACACTGAATACGTGTTGCTAAAGTTACGGGACTTACGCCGGCTACAATGTTCTTATAGGCTTTTTGTCGCGGCCGAAGAGAAATGAGTAAGTAGTAAGTACCGTTACTGCCAGTGAGCAGGGAGGGCTTTACCAAGGTACTTCGGTCGGCTATTGACACTGACGATCCTCGGACTAGCGATCCCTCTCGCGAGACTAAATTTTCAGTGGTAAATGGAGGTTGAACAGCGTTGCAAGAGGTGTTGCTCTGAATCCAGCTCTACTCTATAAAGTTTGCTGATAAAAGCTCTGCAAAATTTACGACAGTCATTCGAACGACGCTACGGCATCTTCTCCCCTGCTTGGTAAACTGGGACTCAACAATTCGAGTTTAGGCCGAATGTTTGCTAGTCAGTTGTATGTTTAATTAAGAAGCGCTAGCGCTGATGAACGATACGCTGTTCGGAATTGTTCCACGCTTCGTCGAGATCCGAAAAAAAGTATGTACACGCGCCTTCCGAGCGAGCGCATGGAGTCCACGGTGCTCGCGGGTATTCCTTTTACTCCAAATCATCCATGTAGACTCAAAGTTAATCATTGTATCAACAGAAGTTTGAGAACCCACGGACCCACGAGCATAGCGAATAGTTCGTGATGAGCTACCGGTGCTATTCTTTCGCCTTGAGCTGCGTACGCATTCGAGGTTTCCTCTGCCGTTTGCGTGATAACTTACGTTCCCCTCTGAAGATCTTACTCACGCTTCTGTGCTAGCCATGTGGCCTAAGGCAATGAATTCCTACGGCACATGATGATCTCTCATCGATCCGGTGCCTTCAGCGATGATGATGTCGGTGAGAACGTGGGGTACGTCAGGCTATCAACAAACCCGAAATGCCGGAGCATTGTACACGACCACCGGTACCGCTCTCTTCTCTACTCTGACCGACATCAAGTACGGAATCCTCCAATATGGCTACTGGCAGAAGGACCTTCATCATCGGTGGTGGCTGCACTGCGTTCATCAAGCCTCGGGCGACGAGGACCACTGAAGACGTAAGATAAAAGTCCATCATGTTTTCGCAGTTAGTTTTCAGACGAGTGTCTTCTATAGATGGGTCTTGAGGCAGCTACGAAGGCTCTCCTTGATGCTGGTCCGTATGCTGCTGCAGGGTGCTATCACCGCCATTACTCATCACCTTCGATGAAGGGATAACATACGATTCCGTGGAGATCGCATGTGTGGGTTATTGTTATGGAGATTCTACATCAGGACAGGTGCTACTTGTTTACCCCAATCGTCGTCCCCTCAGCCCATTCTGATATACCGGCTTCTCACAGAGGGCCCTGTATAATCTTGGATTGACGGGTATACCTATCATCAATGTGAACAACAACTGTTCTACCGGGTCGAGTGCGCTATACCAAGTGAACAATGCCGTCAAGTTCTCGCAAGCGGAATGCGCGCTGGCTTTAGGCTTCGAGCGAATGAAGCCCGGTAGTTTGGGGACTAACTTCCCTGATAGGCCTAGTCCGACTGTTTTGTTTAATGATCGCTCCTTGGAGCTAGAAGAAAAATACCTGGGTAAAAATCATGGTCCTGGGGCTCCAAGACTCTTTTCGAACGGCGCAAAAGAGTATTTCGACAAGTATGGTGGCGGGATTGAACATTTGGCGCAGATTGGTGCGTTTATCAAGATAAAGATCACAGTCGGGGACTGATAATCTCTGATAAATTAGCGTCGAAGAATCATAAGCATTCGCTCAACAATCCATACTCACAATTTAGAGATGGATGGAGCGAAGAACAGATCCTGAAGGCTCCGAAGATTACGAACGAGCTCACAAAGTTCATGTGCAGTCCTACATCGGTTAGTAAGGACTTGAGCCGTATAGGATCTACGTCCTGATTTCCTGGTGAACAGGACGGCGCCGCTTGCTGCATTGTCGCGTCAGAAGACTTTGTTCACTCGCATGGATTGGAGAACCAAGCTATCGAGATCGTTGCTTCTTCGCTGATGACAGACATCCCTGACGCCTTTGAAAGCACGAGCGCGATGGAAGTTATTGGCTATGGAATGACCAAGAGATGCGCGGATAAGGTTTTCAAGGATGCGGGATTTAAAGAAGGCCAAGGTAGGGATCAAGTGGGGGTCGTAGAGCTGCATGACTGTTTTGCTGCCAATGAGGTCAGGATCTCAATTGATTTTGTTCACATTAGAGCTAATGCTTTCGTATCGGTCAAGCTGATCACCTATCCTGCTCTCGGATTGTGTCCTAAAGCAGAAGCACATAAGATGGTCGAGCGTCACGACAACACTGTGAGTATGAGGGCGTTCCAATTAAGGGCTGATGTTAGACCGATTGTCAGTATGGCGGAAAATACGTTATCAATCCTAGCGGAGGACTTGAAGCGAAGGGACACCCGCTAGGCGCTACCGGTCTTGGAATGCATTTTTACATTACAAGTAAGCTCGTTCGCTCGCAGATATCGGGGATGAAATTGACATGACATTCAGTGCAACTGCGTAACTGTACGTGCAAAAAGATGTGATACTGATGATGTGCGAACTGATGGATGGACAGGGGCAGGACCCATGCAGGCGCCGGGTCTATTCGACACAGCTGACAAGCGCGGGAAGTACGGGCTGGTACACAACCTGGGGCTTGGGGGAGCGGTGGTAATATCGCTTTTACGACGTCCGGAATTCTACAGAGAGGGAGGACCTGATGGTAGGACGAGGTACGTCTCCGGTGGGTATGGGCTGGGGTACTGATGATTCACGTTGCGTTAGGTTGGGTTACAACCATGCGCATATATGCAAGCCAGTAATGATGCAGGATGTGGAAAAGGTGAAGTCTAAAACTTCGTCTCGATACATCTTGGAGCATGCCAAACTTTGAAGGGCTAATTGTTGTGTTATCACCATTAGCTATGTACTTTCAATTAACATTAGTATCTTACCTGCCAGAGCATGATGAAGGTTGTCGTGTTTTCCAATGTGAATGTCTGATGAAGATAAAGATGGATTTTTTGAGGGGAGAAAGAATGCACGCACTGTCAAGTATACCTGTCCTCATCGTTGTATTCCAGCGCCTCCAACCCATTCGTATCTTCTCGATACAGCTCCACTTTAACAACAAGATGCCATGGGACCATGATCTGGCCAACGAACCTTCCGTCTGGATTTTCGTCGGGGCCGATACGAAACTCTTCAGTGTTTACGAGGAGAATATTGAGCGGCTTGTCCGTGCCAGCAAAAGAACCAATGAAGACACGGCCATCGGTGACTGTGATGCGTAGAATGCGACGAAAGAAGGATTCGAGAGCGGCGATATTGGCAGACATGGTGGTGGTCGCGAAGCAAGCTGCAAAGGGCATTCACCGATCAGTCTTGTCCATATGCGTCGATGAACCCTTTTGAAAGCACCGTCTCTCTAAATATGCAAGGCCGGTTCTCTACTTCGGATACACACAAGTATTCTGTTATTCTGCCCACGTACAACGAGCGCAAGAATCTGCCGATTATTGTTTGGCTTTTGGCTAACGTGTTTGAGGAAAAGTACGTGTCAGTTTGCTGCGCTTGGTGGACTGAGTGGGACTTATGGGCGTATAGTAAACTTGCTTGGGAGATTATTGTTGTTGACGATGCTAGTCCTGATGGAACCCAAGAGGTGGCAAAGGAGCTAGCTGCTGTCTACGGCGAGGATAAAATTGTGTGTCTAAGGAATATCTCTCTGTCACGTCTAGTGGTACTCATGGAATACAGGTCCTCAAACCACGTTCTGGTAAACTGGGATTGGGGTAACGCTTTCAAGGTCGACTGCATCTCTCAGGACTTATGGAAGTATAGGACAGCCTACATTCATGGACTCAACTTTTGCAGCGGAGACTTTGTAATTATTATGGATGCTGATTTCTCCCATCACGTACGTTGCTGGTCGTTGCTCTTGAGCGGGTCCTTATTATGCATTTGTAGCCCAAATTTATACCCCAATTTATTCGGTATGGACATATTCTCCAGTTTCAACTATAACCAACCTTGCACAGCTTGCAGAAGGCACATAATCTCGATATCGTGACGGGGACACGATATCGCTCGACGTCCAAACCGTACTTGGCCGACGCAAAGCCAGGTGGTGTTCATGGCTGGGACCTTCGACGGAAGTTGGTGTCTCGGGGAGCGAATTTCTTGGCGGACACGGTGCTCAGTCCAGGTGTCAGCGACCTTACTGGAAGCTTCAGGTATGCCCCCTGTCGATACCCTAGACCGCGTGTTTGACTTTGGTCGCCACTACTAGATTGTACCGAGTTGGAGTCCTCCGTCATGTCATTGCAGAAACTCAGTCGAAAGGATATGTTTTCCAGATGGAAATGATGGTACGGGCAAAGGCTCTGGGGTATTCTGTAGGAGAGGTGCCCATAACGTTCGTGGATCGGATATTCGGTGAGAGCAAGCTGGGTGCAGATGAAATTGTCGGGTATGCGAAGGGAGTCTGGGCTCTGTTTACTAGTGTCTGACTTGACAAATATTGACATCATTATCTTATGATATAAGGTTCCCTAAGCCCTTTGACCTTGTTCACCAATTACCACCATGAGCGTCCTTTTGCAGGATATACTGCGTGCATCTACTCTATCCGATTCCCTCAACAACGAGAGAAAGCAGGACAATACTGTACAGCGAGACAACAACGAGGATTCTGACGATGAACTGGTTAATGTGGTGCGTCAGGCTGTTGTCATCAGAGATCGCTCATTGGCTGACTGCCTTGGAGGTTTCCCTACCCGGAACACCGTCTCGGACGCGGCCATCGTCACCCTACTCGTCTTGGCGCTTCGACTCGCCGGCCACCAGGCCCACTACTTATCGGATCACGCAAGGATCCTCTGAAAGTCTTTCCTACGGAGATTTCACAAAAGATATTCGCTCGACTATCCCTACCAGAATTGGCGAAGTGCGCACTGGTATCAAAGAAATGGAATCGGAGTCAGACAATTAATTACGGTCCGTCGGCAGTTCCGCTCGCCTGGTCTTGCTGAATGTTTTGTCTCAGTTTGGTTCCAGCATTATAGAAAGGAGAACTTTCACGATGAGAGTTTGCCACCGGGAAAGTGGACGAAGCGAGAGTCCAAGCAGAACTGGGTGAGTGAGCGACCTTTGCAGATAGAGCATTGACTGACGTTCTGTAGCGCATAATGCACTCACAATCGTTGAGCAACCGTTCCAAGTCATCGAATGGATACAGCCGGTCGGGTCACTCTACACCGTCCATGTCGGGACATCAGACGCCACGAGAATTGAAGGAAGAGAAGTGGCGGTTAGAGGCAGAAGCATCTGCACGCCCAGGAAAGGTGGAAATGAGGGGAATGTACAAGGAACTTGGAGGTCGTAAGTCGAGAGGAAAGACCAAACTAGGCAGTTCGGGTATACGAGACAAGGGTGGTTGGAACGAGGGTGATGACTGGTAATAAATGAAGACTTGTCTTCAGCTTGACTATTCCAATGTGATATGTCCATTTGCGATTGATACAGAAACCCAAAAAAAGACCATACTAAAGTGAATGAATATTTAATGATGGGAACAGGATAGTGGTCATCATTAAGACGACTGATATGGTATGTGACAAAGTAATCATGAACAGCAGCCCTGCGTCGTACTAGTAGCGGAGGGGTTGTTGACTCTGACTGAACCGGTTGAGGGACCACCAGCGGCGTCGCCGCCTTGATCCTGTGTGTCGATCAAACGGGTTTTTATGTCCCTAGGGAAATGTGAGACGGTAGAAAGGCGCTGTAAGGCGAACAGGCTGACCGTGCTAATGTGAAAAATGCCTCTTCGACGCCTTCGTTGACTTTGGCAGAGGTCTCCATGAACTTGATGCCCAGTTCGTCGGCCAGTTCTCGCCCTTGCTCTTCAGTGACGGCTTTCTTGTCGACCCAGTCAGACTTGTTGCCGATGAGAATCTTATTAACGCCTTCGGAGGCGTGCTGCTCGATATTAGCGTGCCAAGTACGGATGTCTGTGGATATTAGATGCATAATGGAATTGGAGAGCGGAAAAAAGGGAGACGCACTGTTGAAAGACCGCTCGTCCGTGACATCGTACACGAGTAGAATACCCATAGCGCCGCGGTAATATGCAGTGGTTATGGTTCTAAATCGTTCCTGTCCTGCAGTATCCCACTGTGGAAAAGAGAAATAAGAAATGGCGTGACGGAGAAGGAAATCGACGGACAATTTGGAGCTTGATGCGTTTGCCGTCGAGCTCGATAGTTCGGATCTTGAAGTCGATTCCAATGGTGGTAATGAAGGAAGGAGTCCATTGGTCGTCGCAGAAACGGAGTAGGAGACAGGATTTGCCGACGCCTGAAAAGCTGTTAGATATGGCGACCTTTGTTATTTCGTTCGGCGAAATTACCAGAGTCGCCAATGAGGAGCAGCTGCAAAGGATGGTCAGAAAGAGGGAGTAAGGAAAGAAAGAACATACTTTGATGAGAAAGTCGTAGTGAGGCGGAGGCATGGCGAGCGACAGAAAAGGTTGGTTTGATACGATGGCAAGAGACTTAGTAGGTTGCCCACGTGTAATCTCCTAACAGACTCGGCGGGCTGTAGCTTTGGGGTTAGGGTTAGGACGCGCGAGTGATGTCATGCTTAGTCACTAGGGGTTTCCTTACTTGAACTTCAACCATCCTCCTCAGTCCCCCTACTGTCCGTTACAGTATGTCGTCCAGACCTCTACCCCGTCAGCCCCCGACCTCGAGTGGATTCGTGATTACTAACCAGCAACCCCAGCAACAACAACCAGTGCTACCTCCAGGGCAGCAAAGCCTCACAATGAGGATGGCGGCTATGGATATCTGGGGTGGGCCGTTACCTCGACCTCCAGGACAATACCAACAGACTGGGTACCAGCAGCCTGGCTATCAACAGAGTAGTTCTGTGTATCAGCCTCAGAGACAGCCACTCGTTAACTCACGATCTCAGTCTTTTGCGGCAGCTCATCCTCCATCGCTGCGCCCTTCGACGATATCCGTGAATGGACAGGTCTACCAGGCTCCAACCCAGCCTGCACAACAATACCAGACCAGATCTCCACCCACCCCAGTATCTCCCAGTTCATACCAGACATACGCATACACCCAGCCTCCGCCTCCGCCTACTCCCGTCAGACAGCAGAGTATGCCGTATCCACTTGCCTCTTCTCCTAGTCGGCCGGTCCCGACGTCTTCCTTCCCGCCCTCTCCGGTACGTCAGCAGTCGTTGCCTTGTCCTCCCGCCCCTTCGTCGCCGGTCCCGCCCTCGTCCCCCTCACCCACTCGTCCTATTCCAACGTCGTCCTTCCCAAATGGGCGACCTGCTTCCATTGTATTCCCACTCCAATCCCAAGTTAATGGCAGGAGAGAGTTGCCTAGTCCAGCTCCACAGCAGGGTAGCTCGCCGACACGAGCTTTGCCTCCAACGTCTGTGCCGTCACGCGACCACAGTCCTACGAAGCCTCTTCCGAGAAGCAGTTCACCGACGCGCCCGCTTCCATCTGTAGTATCACGTCAATCGTCGCCGACGAAATCCCAGACGTTCCCGTTACCAACATCGCCACAGAAGGACACGAAGCCACAGTCTACCTCACCGTTTCTTCCGTCGTCGTCTCCGACGCGTCATCATGATACGTCTTCGACCCGACCTCTACCTTCTACGTCTTCGTCAGGAATGACGCGTCCGCAGCCACCACCACGGACCACCTCGTTTCCCCCTCCTCAATCTCAACCGACATCTCCTTTGCCGCCCACTGAAACCCAACCTCCTCGTATCCGACATCCTTCTCCAACGCGACCCAAACCAAAACTGGCTCTTGACATTGATTTGGATGAACCGCCACCGGTTTCTGTTGTCGGTCGACGAGGCGGGCCACGAACCATGCGTACTAGCCGTAGTGGAAGTGATAGTGGCGCCGGCGATTTTTCAGTCGAGGCGTCTGCTTCCAAAGTAGAGGCCCCAAGGATTGTCCTTCCAGATTCACCGACTGCTCCCCAAATTGTGTTACCAGATGATTCACCTGCCGTACCGAAGATTGTTCTCCCCGGCGAAGATGAACCTCGCGGTCGGAGTCCTTCAATCAATCGAAGGCCATCGCCACCTTCAATAAATGGGGATTCTTCTCCGCCCACCATTACAATTGGAGGAGCACCCCCACCTCCGCAGATCATCATCCCTGGCGATGACGACGACAAGACTCCTTCAATTAGTGTAAATGCCCCGTCTCCTGCTCGACAGACGACGAACGTTTCCACTACGACTTCGAAGCTTCCTAGGGTTCCCCGGAGTAAGCTTTCGTGCGCCGGCTGTAGGCTGCCAATCATTGGACGGCTGGTTACCGCATCCAATAGTGATAAAGGGGGAGGATTACGCTGGCATCCTGAATGCTTCAAGTGCACCATTTGCAGCGAACTTTTGGAACATGTCAGCTCATATGAACGAGATGGGAAGATGTATTGCCATCTAGATTTCTACGAGGTCAGTAAGCAGTGTCTTTCTCAAGTTCGTCTTTCTAACGTTCTCTTCAGACGTTTGCTCCGAAATGTTCCCACTGTCATACACCAATCATCGAAGAACATTTCATATCGCTGGATGATTCCGCACTGGGAGGCAAGCGCACGTATCACGCACAGCACTTCTTCTGTGCAGAGTGCGGTGATCCATTTCTATCTGCTAGCGGAGGCGAGTAGGCTCAGTCAACTAACATTTTGCGTTGCTGACCCTTTTCCAGGTCTTGGTGGTGAACGTTCCTTTTCAGCGGATACCCAGACTTCAGAGTTCATGGTCTACAGGGGCTATGCATACTGCGAAGCTTGCCATGTTCGACTGCGTATGCCCAAATGCTCTCGATGCAAGAAGAGTATCAGGGAGTGGGACGAGGGGGCTGTTGAGGCTATGGGCCGTAAGTGGTGCTGGGGCTGTTTTAGATGTGAAGGCTGCGAGCAGCCGTTTGATGAGGGTACATTTTTTGAGAGGGATAAGAAGGCTTGGTGTGAGACTTGCTTTAGTGTTATTTTGAGAAATGAGGTGTAGTGCTAGATGTGTTTACCAAGTGAATTGGACTACTTAGTGAGAATCTGTGAAGTGTTGGAGAATGTATGGATAGATAAAATTTTGTAGAAAGTAAATCTTGGAGTTGACAAGGTAGGTACTTGGATGTGGTGAATGAAAAGCAGGTTTGAGAAGAAATGGATGCTGTAATAGAATGATGTATCATTAATCTCAGCAGCTGATAGAAGGCTACTGTATTATAGTGCTTCCGGAAAATAATGGGAATGACAGAAAATGCCATCATCAGTTACATCAACCAATTACTCTAATATATTTACTCTGTTGGGTCATAACTGTGAAGGCATCAACAGTAGGTTGGTACTAGCAGGATGATATGCCTCACTGCCCCAATATTTTTCTCATCAGCAAAACCCAACATTGGTCTTGGTGAGCTTGATCTTTTTTTTAGTTGTCTTTCTGCCCCTTTCTCTTGGATGATTGAGTCTTGGTCTTGGCAAACCCGATCTTTGGTGTCTTTATGATCTTGTCACTAGAGCATTCTTCTTCTTTCCTTTGAACTTTGACATTTAGGTACAGTTAGTATTTTTACTGATTGAAACTAGGATAGTACAGCCATAGTTCACTTTGTTCACAAGCTAAGCATTCAAAAAAATATGCACTTAACAACAGTACATTGCATAGTCAGTAATATTACAGAAGCTAGTACACTAGTTGAGGGGGCCCGCATGCACTACTGGAAAAAGCAGGCAAGATGATGCTTCAATTTGTGGCAGGGGGAATAAGTAGGCAGTGGAACAGTGGGAGAGGAATGGAAAATCCACTAAGTTTTTTCAAACTCTGCCAAGGTTAGTCTGACCAGTGCCTGTGCACATGGGGAGCCGCAATGCCTATTGGGCTCATGGCAGCTGACTAGGCATACAGCCACCAAGAAATTGAAACCAGTATCGATCCACCACTCACTGTGACTCATGCCATTTCCTTCATCTTTGACCACATCTACCATGGACATTCTGCACTTCAGGACCCCAAATACATAATATCTAGCCTATTTGTATGTATTCATTGCTATCTTGCCTGTCAATCCACTAGCTTTTCCCATCTTCTTCATCTTCTGACATGTAAATAAAATCACCCATTACTATTAGCAGCAATAGAGTAAGTGGAAGGATAATCTATCTATAAAGTGGTATGACTATGAGGCTTTTATATCTGTACAATTATTCTAGTATATTCTATAAGTGTCCTAAAATTATAGCTAAGTGAATCAGGTAGAAACTTCAAGTATCGACACAACTTTGCATGTGCAGGTAAGGTCTGTTGACCAGTAGAAGGTTAGCATGTTGGCTTGTTCTGCTAACACACTCTCTCAAGCTGGAATCAGTCCAAGAGCTTCAATGAGGGGCTTGAATTTGAATGATGCTAGGGCCTTCATTAGGATGTTGGCAGTCATCTCGGAAGTCGGGCAATAGATGACTTCAAATGTTCCTTTTTGGATTTTCTCATAGATGAAATGATATCGAATATCAATATGTTTTGTACAAGCATGGAACTGTCCGAGTTCGGCATGTGTGAGTGATATGGTAGACTGATTATTGCTATAGATGATGAATGGAATAGAGATTGGTCTGAATAATTCAGCCAGGAAGTAATGATACCACATGGCTTCTTTTGCAGTGTAAGTCAGAGCAATATACTCTGCTTCAGTGGTGGATAGCACCATGATTTTCTGCTGCTTCAATGACCATGAGACCGTGGCACAATTGGATGTATCAGATTCAACATTGGGCTTGATGGAGGGGTGTTTGATGGTGTGGTGAGTGGGGAACCTGGTAGGGAAAGAGGTGTTGGTTTGAGTGATGCAGGTGCATGCTGGATGTTTTCCATCTTCTTTTCATCACTAACTGCTGCATTCTCCCCCTCATTTAGCACTCTATGTATTCCCCCTTTGCTTCTGCACATTTCTGGGAATTTGACGCTGCATTCAACGCATATAGAATGATTATTTGGGTAATAAATTTGATGGCCATTACTATCTTGGTCAAAACCAAGCCACCAACCCTTGCAAGCACGTCCTTCAAGCTTCAAACCATCCTCAACATGTACCCAGACCTTGCAGCCCCACTCATGGATATTCTGCAAGTCAGGCTTCAATCTGTGAAACACCTTGTATGGTGTTCGGCCACCAATGGCCTTTGATGATGTCCGATTCTTCAATCAAATTGCATGCTTCAGTGCCTTGTCCCACAAGTTATTCGGCAGTCCCACGGCATGGAGCATGGCTCAAACCTTTTCAAGGAGTGTGCAATTGAGTCTCTCAGTGACTCCATTGTGTTTGGGTGTGTCATGGACTGTGAAGCAATGCTGGATTCCTTTCTCAGCTAGGTAGTCATCGAAGTCATGACTCTTGTACTCTCCTCCACCATCTGAATGCAATATTTTTATCTTGATACCATGTACCTTGTCCCATCTTGCCTCAAGATCCTTAAATGACTGCAACATCTCATCTTTTGAATGGAGTAGCATGATGCATCATCTGTGAATGTGACATAATATTTCTTGTGCTGGGGTGTCTCAATGGTTGCTGGTCCCCACACATCACTGTGAACTTGATCACCTACTCTCCCTGATACGTCATTTTCTCTAGACTTGGATACTGCTTTCCATGTCATTCTATCATGTAGACATGATGGGCATTGATCCTTCGAGGTAGGGCTTTCTTCATCAAGTTCTAGACCATCAACTAATTGATCCTTGACAAGCTTCTTTGCTGCATTGACTGGAAGATGACCTATCAGACAATGCAATTCATCTGATGTCACAATATGTGGTCCATCATCAATGTGATAGGCTTCTGGATGGGGAACCAGTACACGGAGTCTGTATAGCCCATTGACATGAGGTATTGATCCGATTTGGTGATGCTTCTTGTTGAAGATGCAGCACTCCTCGTCCTTGAAATCAAGGGAATAGCCTGCCTGGGTGATGTGACCAACAGAAAGGAGTGTAACTCTGAGATTAGGTGCATGGAGTACATTCTTAACAAGGACTTTCGTCGTCTGATTCTTCTTCCCATTAGGAATTGAGATATGCATGTCACCCTTCCCAAGCACTTCAAACTTCTTCTTGTCCACTGCCATTATCCCTCGAGGCTTGATAGCCATATAGTTCATCAACTGATGATGTGATGGTGTCATATGCTGTGTAGCGCCAGAGTCAAAGATATCAACTTCATACTCGTGCTCTGTGTCAGCAACGGCTGCTGCAAGGTTCCCAGAGGTAAGTGAGGTTATTTCTCCAATGAGCTCTGGTGTACTAATGTCTAATTTATCAGCTTCATCATCACTGTCCTCATCTTCACTATCGCTGACATCCTGGAGCAGTGGTAGATCCGAGAAGTCTTCTTCATCAACATCTTCTTCCTCTGCAAACCATGCAGCATCAAACTCCTTGTCTGCCTTTGCCATGTTCACTTGTCCATGGCCCTTTCTTGGGCTTTGGCCTTCTTTTCCTCCTCCCTTCGCCCAACAATCTCTTGCCATATGTCCCTTCTGGTGGCAGTTATAGCACTCCACTGATTTTCTCGACTTCTTTCCACTGTTCCCACTGTAGAATGTGGCTTCCTTCTCACCTTTCCCTACTGACCTGACCTTCTGTCAGTCTGCTTCATCATTGATGCCCTGTAGCACCATGTCAGGATTGAGAGCCTTGCCAAAGAGTGTCGATGCACCTGTAAGTGTAGAGAGATATGTTTCAAATAAGGTGGGGAGTGATCCAAGGACTATTGCGATGAAGTTATCGTCACCTGGGTCTGCTCCCATCACAATGAGGTCCTCACGTATGGACTGTAGCTTTGTGAGGTGAGTCTTCACATCACCTCCTTCTGCGCATCGCTCATCCTGGAGCTTCCGGTGCAGATCAACTGTGACCATCTTCGATTTCTTCTCATACTCTGACTTTACCTTGTCCCACATCATTTTTGCCATTGCCTTGCCCTTCACCTTCAAGAATAATGAATCTAAAATGACTGAGGCAATTCCCTGCTTGATTACAGCCTGCTCAGACTTCCAAATCTGGCACCTCTTCACGTACTCGTTCATTGCCTTTGTCTCATCTGCTGTGGGATTCTTGGGATCTACCACAGCTGGCATAGTCAGTTTTGTTGCAGTCATGACATTCTCAAAATGGTCGCTCAGACCCACAGCATCGACAGCAAAAAGGAAGCAGTCACGAAAGAAGATCCAGTTCGTGCCATCAGCCTTGCATGCAGGGAGCTTGGCGAAGTACTCACCAAGTTTCGCAGTGGATGAGAAAGTGTTGGTGGACATGATTGATTGATAGCGAGTCTATGCAGGGTGTGTATGTTATCATTGGAATTCAGTTATGGCCAGGGCCCATAACCTATTAGCAGCAATAGAGTAAGTGGAAGGATAATCTATCTATAAAGCGGTACAACTATGAGGCTTTTATACCTGTACAATTATTCTAGTATATTCTATAAGTGTCCTAAAATTATAGCTAAGTGAATCAGGTAGAAACTTTGAGTATTGACGTGACTTTGCATGCACAGGTAAGGTCTGTTGACCGGTAGAAGGTTAGCACATCGGCTTGTTCTGCTAACAATCACCATGTTAGATGAGCCCTCAAGAGCTCAAAGAACCCCATCAGATGTGTCCAATCTTGGATTACTTAGACCCTGTGCATGCATACAGGCCACCACTGCCAAAAGAGCTTCAACTTGCTCTTTTTGTCCTTCTGGTCCTGATTTGTTCAGTCATGCATTTATTGGAATGGCTGAATCAGAAATATGGTATATGTCAAGCTGCTCCTTAGTAGCCTTGACACTGAGTTGTCTGATTTGGTCTTTCTCCAGCACAAGAACAACACTCTGAAGCTTTTCTAATGCTTCATTCTTCTTCTTTTTCTGCTCCATGACTTTTGCCTGCTTCGCTTTTGCTGCTGCTTCATCTGCTTGCACCTGTTCAGCCTTTCACTTTAATTCTGGTTTGCTTTCATCCAACTTCTGGGCCTGCTGGCGAAGATACACAAGATCATCATTGGTAAGATGCTTGTCCATCCATTCTTGAATATTATTCTGATTGTATATGAAGTGCATGTTGAATTGATGCAAGGTTAGGCAGGGTTTTCGACACATAGTGATTCTGAGGGTTCCAAGAGCACCTTCATTGATGTCATTTGTTGCTGGCATTCATGCAGCTTCTCATTCCTCTGCAGTAAGTCTATTGATCAAACCACCAGCTTCAAACTCTGATGTGAATTGTGTCCAGGTTTCCAGGCACCCTTCCATGAACACAACAAATGCATCATGGAAATATGAGATCTTGGGTATCCACTCCTGTACAGCTTTGGCAACAGTTTCATTATGCCATGTATGTCTGTCAAATGTTCCTGTCACTCCTGATGCATTTGCTCCAATGACAAGGTCTGGGTTTGCGATGATTTTGTGGTAGTGGTCAGTTATATTCTGATGAAGCAGGCCAAGATCTAATAAATTGACATGCTTTACTCTGTAACGAGCATGCTGACAGAAACTCAACTTCCACTCAATCCAACAAACCACATTTCAGAACCCTACAGATTCCAATTCCTAGTTTCTATTTCATATTCTATTTTATATTTCATCTCTCTATTGTAATTTATCAATAGTCCAACATTGGTAGTGAATATGTCATCAGACTCCATTGGCTGCTAACTGGTAGAATACAACCTCCAACAACCCTAGAATGTAGACCAATTTGAGTAGGAACTAGATCAGACTCCTAACTAGTATATAAGCCTTAGAATTACACTGTAGATACTCAGTTTGAATATCAACTTGGTTCAGCCCAATCTCTCTCTCTGACTCTCAGTCAACTCTTGTCCTCCAGTCTGCGGAACTCTGATCTGGTGGACTTATCTCCCAACCCTTCCCTATCATTCCATGGACTTCCATCCATACTCATCTTAGGGCTTTGGCTCAGGGGTGATGTTGCTAATAGCTTTGCCTATGCCTAATGCATCCCACAGCATTCCGCTATGTGCACTTACTGCCACAATCCTATTGGCACAATCCTAACAGTACATTTGAACTCAAACCCTTGAGTCAAAATTTTCATCTAAATCATGTCTTCTACCTTCACCCTTCCTCCAGAAACCAACCCCAACTCCACAGCCAACAACCAAATCTATACCATGGAGGATATCTCTGCCTCTGCCTCAAAGGAGGGTCTGCTCTCCTTTGGAGCAGATTCCACTCCTTCCCAATGTGCCTGTAGGGAGACCTACTTGCACAGTGGTTTCACTGCTTGGCAATCTGACACTAACAGGTCACCTAACCCCTTCCTAGCCCAGCAATCAGAATCCAACAGCTGGGGCGAGTATTGGAATGACTCTCCATGGAACTCACCTACATCTCTGTTTGATGACATCCAAGGTCGCGATGATGACGACGACCAAGGTTCAGAAGACAGAGACTTCCCCTCTCATATGCCAATGAATGGCTGTGGATGCCCATTGGAAAATCCTGGTGGTGGCCCACCCAATCCTGGTGGCCCTGGCAGTCTCAGTGGTCCCGGTGGTCCTGGAGGAGAACCTAACAACAATCCTGATAACAATCCTAATCCTCCCAATAGTGATGTCCAGATCCTCATTCAACTGATGAATGTTCTCCACAGCATCTCTGATATGGTCAATGGCAATTGACAACATGCTGTATGCACCAAGGTCAAGAAACCAGATACCTTTGATGGTTCAGACTCTCGAAAACTCAAAGTCTTCATTGTCTCCCTCCAGTTAAACTTCAATGACCGTCCCAATGCATTCTGATCGGACATGGCCAAAGTCAACTATGCCATCTCCTTCCTTTCCAGTGTCGCACTCGACTAGTTTGAACCAGATATCCTCCACCCGAATCACCACAATCCTCCTGCCTGGGCATATTCCTATGCTGCCTTTCTTTCAGAACTCCAAACCAACTTTGGCCCCTTTGATGCCATTGAAGATGCCAAAGATGAACTCGAAAACCTTTGGATGCACGATGGAGACTGCATCATGAAGTATATCATCAAATTCAATCAGTATGCTGCCATCATTGGCTATGGCGACAACTCCCTTCACCATGCTTTCTATCATGGTCTTTGTTCCCACATCAAGGATGATATGGCTCACTATGGAAAGCCTGATAACCTCTGCGATATGCGCAATCTTGCTCAGGAGCTTGACGCTTGCTACTGAACTTGGAAAGCCGAGATATCCCAAGAAAATTGCAGTAACCCTTCCTCCTCCACCCATAGCAATAAGTCAAAGGGTTCTAATTTTTTGGCTTTCAACTCCAACTCTGCAGGCCAAAAATCATCCAATTTGGGCTCTATGGGATCACCATCATCTTCTTCCAACAACTCTTCCTTGCCTTCCAACCCCAAGCCTTATGCTGACAAGCTAGGCAAGGATGGCCATCTTACTCAAGAAGAAAAGGACCGTCACCTGAAGAATAACCTCTGCATGTTCTGTGGAGGTAAGCATAAGACTGAAGATTGCAACAAGCACAAAGCCATGGCCTCTGCCCATGTCCATGCTGCTGCTGTTTCTTCCCCTCCTAAGTCATCTGCCTCTATTGAACCGGTTCCCTTGGAATTGGAAAACTAGAGAGCAACCCTGTATCCTCTGCACTAGGATAGGGTTGCATTGACTGTCATTGTGTATCAGAGATTGTAACCCTCAATGCTGCCACTCTTTCCAACCATTCTCTAACTGTCCCTCTCTCCTCTGAAGTCAGCTCCGGATCGGAGTCTGATGGTTTTCCCATTTCTACTATCCTTCGTTTCCTTGCTCTCATGGATTCTGGCTCTAGCCACTGCTTTGTCAATTCAAAGTATGTTGAGGATCACAATCTCCTCACCAAATCTATTCTTTTTGTCCAACTTTAGCTTCTTGATGGCTCTATCAGATCTCACATTTCTCAATCCATTTCTCTTTCAATCCATTTCTCTTCCAGAGACATCCTTCCTATTGACTTCTATGTCACTCATCTAGACTCATCTTGTAACGTCATTCTGGGATACAACTGGCTCTCCCACTACAATCCATTGATTGACTGGGTAAAGCACAGTATCACTTTCCATTCACCATTATTGGTTGTTTCTTCTTCAAGCACTTCCATGATGATGAGCCTCAAGGCTCTGTACACTCAGAATTCACAGATTTTAGCATTATAATAAATGCCTTGTCCACTTAGTGGACTTTCCCTAAGTCAACAATTGCAATCATGGCAATACCCACTTTTACCACCAACTATCCATCCCAACTCGTATTCCACATCAATATGCACCACTTCATTATTGCCACCAGGCACCTGATTGCAGATCTCATGGAATTAGGACTATCATTGATCACTCAGCACAGCCATCACTGACATCAGCATCAAGCATCACTTAATAGAATGCCACAGTCAAAATACCTACTCCATGGCAAAAGACTTAATACCATGACCTTTCCACCCTTTACTAATGCTGTTACAATGCCAAGACAATGCTGCACACATCTACTTCAGTGTACTACCTTCAGTGTACTTTGCTGCAGCAACACAGCAGCCCAAGAGTCCATATGTTGACAGAATTCTTTCTGATCACTAAGTCTATATGCAGTAAAACCATGTGGGTGCTGTTACTTTAGAACTCTGGGAGCATGCATTTTGTATCATTTCTTACCAATTGATGTACTAAGGACTTACTAAGGACTCATTTCAAGTATTCTAATTTTATTCCAGACTTGTAGTATAAAAGCTAGTGTAATAGTAGTAGCTAGAGACAACAAGTTACCAGACATAAGTTATCGCAACCGTTATCGACCACCATCACCACTTGTACTCACTAGAAGACAGACAATAAAATCTAGTCACTCCGACTGTCAGTTTCAGTATAGGATAGTCTCTATGTAGACTCAGAATCAGTATAAGTTTTGTTTTGCCATTGTTAATCTCAGTATAGTTTCAGTATCAGCCTCGCCCAGTCTCAGTCATCGTTTTGCTGCTGCTAGTCTCTCATCATATTTCTATCAGCCAGTCTCTCTTTGCTTTACCACCAGTTTCTCGACTACAGTCTTCATCTATTGCTGTCACAGTATTTGTTATCTTGCCAAATGGTATTTCTCTTTGATGGCATTTCCATTAATTCTGCCAATTCCACTCATGGCTTTACTAGCTAATTACCATCACTTTGTTCACAGCTTGCTGGTATTCCCAGTTATACCAGATTCTATTCCTTCTCGTATATCGAGACCCCTCCTGGCTTACAGCCAACATTTTCTAGTA